CCAGGGAAGAAGGATCCACCACCTTCCCAGGTAGCCCATTTCATTTTCAAACAGCTCTTACCATTCAAAAGTTCTGGTTTGGGTCCTACATCTGGAGCAGCAGAAAACAGCCTTGCTCCATCTTCCACGTGACACCAACCCCATTCACAGGAGGCCCAAAATAACTTTTCCAGAAGATCAAACAGGGCATGCAATGGAAGACGACGTGTTCACAAGGAGTTGTGATGGGGGCAGTGGCAGCAGTTTTGAACATAAGAAGAGCCCTGCGGGATTAGGGTCGATGGCCCGTTTAGTCCAGCATCACAGTAGCCAACCTCTGGGAAGCCTAAAAGCAGGACTGTCGTTGATGCTTTAGCTGAGATTCCTGCCTTGCAAAGGGTTGGACTAGTTGAACCTTGGGATCCCTTCCAACTCTATAATTCTCTGATTCTAGGACCTGGGTGCAACAGTGATCTCCTCACTTGTGATTCCCAGGAATTGGTATTCAGGGGTTTGAAGACAGCCTCCACATCAGCTCATCTCCTGCCAGAGTGGCTTTTATTTTTCCTGCCGGGGGGGAATAAGGAACCATTGGCCAGATGTGTGGTTTTCCCCCTTGCTCTATTTCAGGCATAGGCTGAAGTAGCCTCCAGGTGTTTGGGACTATAATTCCCATCATCCCTAGCTAACAGGACTGGTGGTCAGGGATGATGAGAATTGTAGTCCCAGGCATAGGCAAACTCCGGCCCTCCAGGTGTTTGGGACTACAACTCCCATCATCCCTAGCTAACAGGACCAGTGGTCAGGGATGATGGGAATTGTAGTCCCAAACATCTGGAGGGCTGGAGTTTGCCTATGCCTGCTCTATTTGGTGAGGAGGGGGCTGATTTCCATTTCCCTTCCTCCTTCCAACTTCTGGAGATGCAACTGGAAGGTACAGGAGTGGCGGCGGAGAGAGGAAGGAAGAACCATCTCGTCCCACTTTACAAATGGTCCCTTTTGCCGTAATTGTTTCGGGACATCAGGTTCTCCTTTGTGCAGAACCATCTGCACGCCGCGTGCCCGTTTGGCATCGCTTATCCTATTACAACAGATGCGTCTAGCCGGGCCTATTCATCACCGTGTTGCAAATGGAGGTTCAACGGCCCACTTGCAAGCACAACAAGGAATTTAATCCCCCGCACAATTAACATTTCCAGAGAGGAAAGCAAAAGACATGTTCGCTTTGCAAGCAGAACAATCAACTCTACCCTCAGAGCAGCAGCAAAGCCAATAGCCAAAGACGGGGAAAGAGGAAGCTGCCTTTTTCCTGCTGAGTCAGTATCCAGTTTTGCTCTACACCGTTGTTTCCCAAACTTGGGCTCTTTTGGGACTACAATTCCCATCATCCCGAACCACTGGTCCTGTTAACTAGGGATGATGGGAGTTGTCATCCAAAAACAGCTGGAGACCTAAGTTTGGGAAACACTGGTCTACACTGACTGGCAGTGGCTTTCCAGGATTTCAGAAAGAATCCTCTCCCAGCGTTACCTGGAGATCTTGTGATTGTACCTGGGACCTTCTACATGCCAAGCAGATGCTCTTCCACTGAGCGACATTCATTTGCAGCGCCGAATTCCAAAATAAGCAGCAAAAGTTTGAAGAACTGGACCCTCTAACTGCAGAGGCAGAGCATAGCCATCTGAACATTTCTGAGGTCAGCTGAAAAGGTTTTGCCCAAACCAGCACAATATCCCCAGGCTGCTCACACACCTCTTGGTTCTTCTTCTTTCTTTCTTTCTTTTTAATTTTATTTAACTTTTTATTTTTACAGTCAGCTATTTTGAAACAACGGGCTCAAAGTGTCCACTGGGTTTTGTTTTGTTTTTAAAAAAGAAAGAAAGAGACAATGCAGCGAGTTCCAATCTGAAACAGGGTGAAGTGGTTATGAAAAAACAACACCCTCAAGCAGGCAAGTGTGGCTTGTAACCCATTCAAGTGAATGCAGCTCTGCAGCCAAGTATTGACAGACCTTCATGGGGTGGGGGTTTTGCCCAGTATTACTTAGATGATATGTAAAGCCCCGCTTACAGGGACGCGGGTGGAGCTGTGGGTTAAACCACAGAGCCTAGGACTTGCCGATCAGAAGGTCAGCGGTTCAAATCCCCGTGACGGGGTGAGCTCCCGTTGCTCGGTCCCTGCTCCTGCCAACCTAGCAGTTCGAAAGCACGTCAAAGTGCAAGTAGATAAATAGGTACCGCTCCGGCGGGAAGGTCAACGGCGTTTCCGTGAGCTGCTCTGGTTCGCCAGAAGCGGCATAGTCATGCTGGCCACATGACCCGGAAGCTGTACGCCGGCTCCCTTGGCCAATAAAGCGAGATGAGCACCGCAACCCCAGAGTCGGTCACGACTGGACCTAATGGTCAGGGGTCCCTTTATCTTTACCTTTAAAGCCCTGCTTTACCAGAGACCAGAGACCCATCTAATTCAGCATCCTGCTTCCCCCAGTTGGCCAGCTAGATAACAGATGGGAAGCCTACAAGCAGATCCTTCAGCCATTGTTGTTCTTCAGCAATGGGTGTTCAACTGGCATGCTACCCCTGATTCTGGAGCTAGACCATAGCCATCATGACTAGGCAACCACTGAGATCCTTCTCGAACTTGTCTATTCCCCATTAGAGATCCCCCCCTTAAACTGGAGATGGTGGGGAGTAAACGTGGAACCTCCTGTACCCAAGCCATGTGCTCTATAGCAGACAGAGCTGACTTGTACCAAGTCATGCCAACCAGCCTGATATTGTCTACTCAGGCTGACAGCAGCTCTCCAAGGTCTCACGCAGTTTCCCCAGCTCAAAGCCCCAAGATCCTTTTGTTAACAACCACAACCTTTTCGTGGGGTGGGGGGTGGAGAAGTCATATTGATATGCACTCCCCGTGCACACACAGGGTCAAAGAGGACAAGGGGTATGAGACGGAGCATGCCACATGGCTTATGGACTGATTTGGGCTTAATGTGTCACAAGATGTTCTGCCTGGATGCAAAGCATGAGAACATCGGAGCGTGAGAAAATCCTGCTGGACCAAGCTAGGGACCCATCTGATTAACCATCGCTTTGTCTGCCCTGAATCATCTAACATTCACCTTCACTGGATGTCCCTGAGTTGAGAGAGGGGGAGAAAATAAACGTCTCTCGACACCATGCATAATTCCAGACCCCTCTTTCACGTCCTCTCTTGCTTGCCTTTTCCCTAAACTATGCAAGGCATGGCGACACATCAAGCAGTTAAAATTGTGATCTGCTCCTTCCTGAATCCTATCAGCATGCTTTACATCCATCTATACCACCTTGCGGCAGCATTTCCCAGCCACTCAAAACTATACTATGGTTTGAAGAGTCTCATCCAGCGGAATCGCTGCTGCTTTGAGAGCACACAGAAGAAGAAATTCGTCTCCTTTGTCCTGTCAGATTTAAGGATGCTCTAAGAGGAACTGCAGATCTGCCGCAAAAAATGAAAGCAGGGAGGGGAAGAACCCCTACAATCTATTGTGTCTAGAAACCGTCTCACTTGCCTCCAGCTCCCATGGTGACAACATGGGATTCCATTCTTAGCTGATAAAAATAGACGTCGCCTTCGCAAACCCAGCCCAAGCAACAAAGCTTTAGCCCATTTTTCGAGAACTCACTGGAACGCCTCCAACACCAACGTCATTTCCAAGCCATCAAAATAATTTCAGCTGGACCTTCGATGAGCCGGGGCATGGTGCGCCATTTTAAACCAGTAAAGACATTTTAAGAGCAGATGAAATAAAATAATTGGCTTGATCAATAGTTCCCAAAGTAGGTGGTAGAGACCCCAGTGTGGGGGATTTCCTAGTGGGGCCCTAAGAGGCAAGGGGACAGAGATGGGATGGGTGCCAGAGGGGTAAATGAGTATCAGACTTTTAAAACCTGTTATCACGGGATCCAGCTCAAGAGCTTTGTTGAATTAATTAAGCTAAACAGTCTTAATTGGGTTTTGAATAAATGTGCAATTAATCATTACTGTTCTGAATTTCATTGTGTTATTATCCTTTTTAGTGGGTCATGGAAACCACTATTCTGAGTAATGCTTTTCATAGAGTAGCAGGCACTGGGGATGTGTTTATGGGACCAAGGGGAAAGTGGCTCTAAAAGGTTCAGGAGCCACAGGTGCACTGATGCTGCAACATGGCTGTGATTGTATAAACAGCATGGGAGGTGCTATCCAACTAACCAGTTGCACTAGACTTTGAGCTATTCTCCTGTTCTCTTCTCTCCACAAGACCACAACCCTCAGAGCATTCTTAGCCTCCTGTCATGCCAGAGGACAAGGCCTAACCCAGTTCTTGGTCCCTCCTCTTGGATCTAAGACCTTCAGCTCATCCTAGCACTGAGGACAACCTCTCCCTTAGTAATCAGCCTTATACAAAAGCTAGGCCGTTGGTGTTTTTGTATTGTCTACATTGACAGGGGCAGAGATGCTTTGAAACTAATTAAGCTACAGGGCCAATAATCTTGGAGGGGCCCCAGAAGCAACTTCAGTCCACATTGCTTAAAAACGTAGACCCAATTTGAGTGGCACAACTTAAATTGATCGATTTTTTTGTTGCATGTATTTCAACAATCCCAAAGTTTGAGAGTCGGTAGTGGTGTGTCACAGTACAGCAAGATTAAGCAAAAGCTGAGATTTAGTAGTTTGTTTGTTTTTTAAGTGCTGATCTACCATTGAAGAAGATAACAGTGGTTACCCAGACCTCATTGCTGGTTGAGAAGAGGGCCCCAGCACAAATCAAACTTCAGAGCCCCCAAAATGTAGGTCTTCCACAGATTAGACCTCCAGAACAGCTTCCCTACCCAAAAACTGAGTCAAACGTCTACAGACCAAACTCCCGACCACTCGGTGCTAATGCAAGGAGCCCAGCTTTCGTGATTCAGTTGCGACGATGCACCAGTCCCATGCAAAAAGAGAACCCGTAAGGAAAACCAATTGTGAGAAATGCAAAGAGGGGGAAAGTGACCATCCTACTTACAGCCCACCATCATCATGGCCACTGAGAAGATCTTCTCTCCATCGGTGGTCGGAGCTATGTTCCCGAATCCTATTGTGGTAAGGCTTGTCATGGTAAAGTAGAGGGAAGTGATATAAAGCGAGTCTTTACTGGGTCCTCCTTCCCACTGCCCTGATCCCGTAGAGTTGTACCGATATGGCGTTCCAATGCTCTCCGCCAATTGGCAGAGCCAGCTGTCCTTCTTGAGGGTATTGGTGATCTCATCGATGACCTCGTAGTCCCCGATGCTGTACCATATACAAGCAAGCCAGTGGGCTACTAGTCCAAAGACACAGACCAGCAGCACCAAAACCGCAGCACCATATTCCAGGTAATGGTCCAACTTCCTGGCCACGCGGCCCAGTCGCAGGAGACGCACCACTTTTAAGGAACTGAAGAGACTGCTGATACCCTGGGAAGGAAGGAGGGAAAGCTTTACTCACTTGCAAAATGATAAACACCACGTGCTCTTGTTTACGCTGAACACTAAGGCATCTGGAAGTAGGGGTGGGGGAGAGATTCGATTCAGTTCACATTCACAGGCAAATCTTTTAAACCCACACTTTCTGAAACGGCACAAGAACTGAAACATAGCCTTCCTCTGAAATTCACACATCATTGAATTTTGCAACGCAGTTCTCCAATCGAGCAGTGATTACAGAAATACGTATATTAGAGGAAATTGTGCACAAAAATGAATGTGTTAGTGAAATCAACATACAATAATTACCGTACTTATGCAATTAGCTCCATATTATGCAATTATCCTTTCTTGGGAGTTTTTAAGTAGAGGTTGGATGGCCATCTGTCATGGATGCTTTAGCTAAGATTCCAAAATTGAAGGGTGTGTGTGTGTGTGTGTGTGTGTGTGTGTGTGGATTCGATGATACTTGGGGACACTTCCAACTCTACAATTCTATGATTCTATGATTCTCTTATCATTCTTGTTTCACCCTTAGATAACAGGGTGGGCTAAAACAATTAAAACATTCATTATTAGACATTCATCACATTAGACATTCATCATATTAGACATTCATCACATTAGAGGAAATTGCTTGCAAAAATGTGTGCTTTAGTCAAAACTTCAGACAAAAAAAAAGTTTATGAGGAGATACTCACACAAAAATGCTAAAGAATTTTCATGTGAGCTTTTTACTGTGGTGAAAACAAAATGCATATTGCTGCAGAAATGTGAATTGGGAACCATGAGAGAACCAATATTGGCAGGTCCTCCCATCCTCAGTCTACTCTGATAGGACCACGAAGATTTCATTTTCGTTTTCTCTGGAGATGTCAGGGATTGAACTTGGGACCTCCCACATACAAAATAGATGCTTTGCTGCTGAGCTATTTTGGAAGCAGATGATAGGGGAACAGCAAGCAGGGCTTGTTAGAAAAGACTTTGCTTATACTGTTGGCCAGTTGGTTTGAGAAAGCTCTGAATCTGCACAGCTTTCTTCCTTACTTTGTTTGCCTTGGGAACATGTGAGCTTCCCAAGTGGTCCCCAGGGAATTAAAAAAACCCCATTGTGGATTGTTTGCTTAGTTCTGTATGAATGCTAATTAATGCCCAGGACACTGACTAAAAATGAACAGAAACATGAACTATTCTGCTGCCAAGAACAAAGGCTGGATTTTGTACTTTCTGCTGAAGAAGACCTGTAATATTCCTCTAATATTTATGTAGAATATTTTGAGCCACCAGGAATGCAAAACTTAGGCCCGACATGGAAAAACTCAGCAACGTAAAGATTTGCTTGGGCTTCCACCCACTTGACCTCCATGGAGCTTGAGTTAGTGGTGCTTTAAAAGTGACAAGTTGATTTCATTTGTTTCTATAAGACTGTGGTTCTGAAAGAGTGGGGATCTTCCTATGTTCTTCTGAGATTCTGAATAACTGAAGATGGTCAGATCACATAATCTTGCCTTCCTACATGGTTCTCAACTGAACATATGTCTAGCCACTGAAGACTAATTAGCTATCATGGAGATTGCTGAACGGCATCAACCACATGCAATTGCTTTACAGAAGTGTTTTGTTTTCCCCCCCTTCGATGATGTTGTTCTTTCATCTTTAAGTGACCATATGCCTTATGCTGGAAGTTGTACGTGAAAGGAGAGGGAGCCATGGGCTCATAATTAATTACAGTCTAAATTATAAATAACTAGCTCTTGCATTCAGAATCATTACTGACTCACTGCAGGAACGCTCCGGCAAAAGAATTCCACAGTAAAAAAAGGGAGAGAGATTCAACAGCTGAAGATGTTTCATTTAGCAGGAAGCAACGAGGCAAGTGTTCCTTCTTCCCATGCCAAGTTTAAATTGCCCTTTTCTACACATCATTATCGAATCAGTCTAGTCAAAATCTTGGATAATTATATTACAAACCTGTAAAACACTGGAGTTTATTTCAGTACAGGAGTAAAACTGAAGCTCCTTTATTTGTCTGCAATGTTTCTTCTTCTTCTTTAAAAAAAGGTCTCACACATTTTGCTACTTTTCATCCCAGTACATTAAGCTAGAGATTATCAGCTAAGAGGCCACCTGGGAAACTTGCCATGAGCAGCACAAGACTCAGATGAGGACGACTTTCAGACTACTTCATTTGGAGCCATCCCAGCTGGAGACACAGCCCTGCCACCACCCTCCAACTCAGAGAATGTGTCTCCTACAGAACCTCTGTCCCCCCCCCAAAGGTTATGAAATAACTCAAGGGACCTTTAACTAGCCAGCCAGATGCTCTAAGGCAAAGCCTACCCCCACTTCAGGCCTGATTGGCCTACATAAGGCTTCATAAGAACCTAATGAGAGCTTGCTGAATAAGGCCACAGCCTACCTCATTCAGCATCCTATTCTCACAGTGGCCAACCTGGTGCCTGTGGAGGAAGCCCACAAACAGGAGCCTAACAGCATTCTTCCCACTTGCAACTCCCAGCAGCTAGTAGTCAGAGGCATACTGAGACTGTGAGAGCAGAACAAAGCCACCATTCATGGCCTTATCCTCCATGAATTTGCCTAATTCTCTTTGGCAGTAGGATAGCTCAGTTGGTTAGAGCATGGTGCTGATAACATCAGGGTTACAGGTTTGATCCCTGTAAGGGACAGCTACATATTCCTGCATGGCAGGGAGTTGAAACTAGATGATTCTTGGGGTCCCTTCCAACTCTACAATTCGACAGATGTAGATCTGTGATCTTTTAGTGCCAATGACTTCCAGGATTCTGAGAGAGAGAACTCTATAATGTCTCCCCTCACTTGCATTTTCTCTAAACTAAAAAGCCTCAGATGTTGTTACCTTTCCCCTTGATCATTTTGGTTGTCCTTTTCTGAACTTTTTCCAACTCTGCAATATCCCTTTTGAGGTGAGGCAACCAGAACTGTACATAGTACACACAGTATTCCCAGTGCAGCCACACCATAGCTTTGTATAATTGCATTATGATATTGACAATTTTATTTTCAGTTCCTCTCCTAATTATCCGTAGCATGGAATATGCCCCTTTCACAGCTGCTGCACAGTGGGTCAACATCTTTGTTGAGCTGCCTATTATGACCCCAAGGTTTCATTCCTGGTCAGTCACTGCCAGTTCAGATCCTATTGGCCCTGGCTCCCTGCAGGGACAACTTCTCTTAGCAGGGCCCCTTGGAGCTCTCCAAGGTCCTGAAAGTTCTCTGCTTAGTTTGGACTTGTGACTGGACTGCCTGTTTCCTTTGCAAACCCTCAAGTGCCCACAGAACTGGACACAAAGAGGCAAGTCCAGCCCCAAGAGAAAAACCAGCTATTTACCCTACCTGCCAAATCTAAAGAAAGAAATGTGTGTGAAAAGAGAAGTCACTTTGGGACAGGTGGGCTTTGGAGCTTGGAGATTCCCTGGCCCACCTCTGTCCAAAATTAACACTTAAAGTGTTTGCATGACTGCTGAGAGCCGTAAATCATAAGCGGGTGGGAATTCTGCAAGCAAATGAACCCACAGAGAGAGACATTTCAAGTTGAGCGACTTATAAAGAGCTTAGCCCCTAAAGCCCCATGAGCTCTTTAATCCTTCTTTTCTGGTGTTAATGTTAGCAGCATACATATTCAAGGATCCCCACTCTTCATTCAGAGAGATTTCATTTCAAGGTATATGATTAAGTGCACTTATGCTTATAAATGCACCGCTGCTACAAAGCTCTAGTGGCCTTCCTTTGGAAAGCCAAATTTGGGGCCAGCCTAAGGAATGAGCAATGTGATCTCAGAGCCAGAATTTACATATAGCTGGGAGACTTGAGCTCACTTTGGGTATTACTGCTGCGATGCAGCAATTTAAGTAGATTGAGTGCTGCACCATAAGCACTGCTCTCCATTGTCGTGTGGTTCATATGGGCTGCTCTAGTGTTCAACTGATACTTTAGTACCAGGGAATCTCCAGTACATGCGGAGCACAGAAGCATCTGCTTAGATGGGAACAGGAAAACTGAATGTCCCATGAGTTCAGTGGGCAGTCGGGGGTCCCTTCTAGGAGAAGGAACACTTTGCTGTTGCGTTGCTCATATCCAGCCTAGATTACTGTTTAATGCCATACGGTTGGTTGAAAATATGGCAGCAAGCTTTTTCTCACTGCAACGAGCACATCACACCAGTGGCAGAAGTATCCAGCTTCTTTTCCCTTCAACCATTTTCCACCAATGACTGAGAAGACCAGGAGACTTTGACTATATGATTTTGAGCTCCCCTTTCTTCTTCTGAGTCTTCCTTTCCCTTACAAACTTCACCTTCCAGCCTTTGTTCCTCTCTTTGCCCCAACCCCCCTTTCCTGGACTTCCTGCATTCCCTGGACTTTTGTCTTCTTTGGCCCTCTCCTTGCCTTTCCTTCCATTGACTTCACTCTCCCCGTTTTTTTCCTACCCGACTCTTTTCTTTCTTCCTGCCCTGCTCTCTCTGAGGCCCTGAGCTGCTCAGCCAATGGCAACAAGAGGTCTTCTGCCCACTCTTCCCTAACTTCACAGCAGCTCATTCAGCAGCGCGGAATCCCTTTGCACACTGCAATGTGGATTATTCCCTGTCTCCCCCTCTTCTTCCCATACTGCATCTTGATTACCATTCTGGAGATGCTCCAAGCATTATGCCGTTTTCCTCCTCTACCAATTCCCTGCTGTGTACAGCAGCAAATGTTACAAATCAGCTTTGCTGCCGTCAGCTTTCTTCTAAGCCGGCGTCCAAAAGGATTACTTCATTTCCCTTGTTTCCTGAGCAAAACTCCCTTCTCTTTTCTGCCGCCACACCACTCCTCGTGGCCCAATACCGAGGGGAAACGAGGGATCAACAATGCTCCCCTGTGACATTTCAGAGGCCAAATGAGCCTTCAATTTAAAGCCGTCAGTTGTTAGCATGTCTCTCTCACATAGGATTTGAAATTAAATATTGTGCAACCAATATCTGTTTCCCCATTAACATATACAGTGCATTTGAGGGAGGGAAGTGTCTGAGAAGGGTAATTCAAATTAAATATCCTATAGCTTAAATGCTCGGTTATAAATCTTACATAAACTGAGACACTCTAAACAAATGCTTCAGGCTCGTTTCACCCCCAGGCTACCTCTGCAAACTTTTTGCGGTCTCTCTCTGGGGGATTGCCTAAGAGCAACTTGTACAAACTAAATTTTCCTTTCCCTCTGGCTCTCCATAGAATATTCATCCCATCCCATCTTTTTAAGTATTCTCCACCCCACACCAGCTTAGCACTGGCAGATCGTAGACTTCTGAACACCCAATGGCATTAAGAGTTGCATGAAATCAGAAGACACACTTCACTGAGAGCGGTGCCTCTTTCACTAGATCATTCCACTTTGTTTTTAGAGTTAAGGAAGCCACAGATTCAGTCTCAGAATGAGAGGGGCTCCTGTGTCTTAGTGATGAAGGCAAGGGGGTGTTGGTCCCACTTACAGGAAAAGTTGCATCTGCTGAAATTCAAGGAAGAGATGTAAGCTCAGTGGTAGAACATCTGCTTTGCAAGCAGAGCATTTCTGGTTCAATCCCTGGCAACTCCTAGTAAGACTGGGGGAACTGTCTGAAGACCTGGAAAGCTTCTGCCTTTGTGTAGGCAATATTTAGAACATGGGTAAGCAAACTAAGGCCTGGGGGCAATCGTCATCTAAATCTAGCCCACTGACTGTCCGGGAATCAGCGTGTTTTTACATGAGTAGAATGTGTCCTTTTATTTAAAATGCATCTCTGGGTTATTTGTGGGGCATAGGAATTCATTCATATATTTTTTTCAAAATATAGTCTGGCCCCCCCACAAGGTCTGAGGGACAGTTTACCAGCCCCCTGCTGAAAAAGTTTGCTGACCCCTTAGCTAGAAGGACCAATGGTCGGACTGGGTGTGAGGCCACTTCCTACGATGTACCACATCCTTATGTACTACAATAAAAGGAGCTTCTGGAGACATTGCTGGAGCCCAACTCCCATCAGCCAGCATGGTCTATGATCAGGAATGGTGGGAGCTGGAGTTCAGCAACACCTGGAGAACCACACGTTCTCCATCCATGGCATATATATTTATTCCACTCAGAATTCATTGCCCTCTTCTATAGCATACAGGAATCAATGCTCATAAACTTTCCTTCAAGGGCTTAAGCAGAAGTAGCACTTTCTCAGGAAGCTATAGGAAATGGGAGTACTTCAGAGCTAATTGTGTTGGTTTTCCATTTGTAAGGTTTGTCATGGTTTTCACAGGGAACATTAATGCACTGAGGTCTTCTGAGCTGCTGCTGAGGAAATGAAGCAAGCTACACGCACATCCATCAAATCAGCATCAGAAGCCAATTTCCCTGAGAACTGGTCTCCTGTATCCTAAACAGGCTTCGTAAGTTGCTGTTCACCTGGTGGCAAGCAGAAACTTCCTTCAGACAACCAGCCAAGGAAGCAGGGCTTGCCCAATACATTTTGCTGCCTTCAGCATAGCAACAAATACACACACACAAACAGTCAAGATACGTAATGTCCAAGGCCAATCAAGTTATTTTGGCACCTGAGGCAGATAATCCCACAAGTCACTCCACCATTCCCCGGCAGTAAAAATGCAATGATGATAAATTAAATAACTAGCCCTTTCACAAGACCCCCCCCCAAAAAAAAATCGGGTTCCAAAGGCACCAGCCTCACTCTGTCTAACGATAGGGCTAGCTTTGGATTCATTTATTTCGATTACTTGTGCCTTTTGCACAAGTGACAGGGTGGTTTGCAAAAAAAAAAAAAAAAAGCAAATCAGATAAAAGGAATACACACAATCAAGGAATAGCACAATCCTTAAAATAACATTTGCATAACAAATCTCCAAATAGCAATTACCAGTACCAGCAGCCGAAACAAATCCATTTGTTTAATCAGATGTTTCCTCCTACTAATGCCCAGCAGAAAGGGTGAGCCTTAACCAGCTGCCTAATGGGTATAAGGAAACAGGGCCAGACACACCTCAGTAGGGAGGGAGTGCCACATGCGGGGGGCCACCACTGAAAAGGCCCTTCTCTGGGCTTCCAAATGTTGTATCTGCTTGGACAACCAAGTAGATCTCATCTTCTGATCTTAATGCACGGGCAGGTAGTATGGGATAAGGTGTATTTTCAGATAGTTGGATGCTTTATAGAAAGATGTGATATTCAACCTTTTCTGGGTGGGATTGCACTCCCCCTAAAGGATCAAGTATGTAGTCTGGGATCCTTTTAACCCACCTTTGTTTATGGAGGTACACACTGTGGGATGTAAGAATCAGGTGCAGTCAAACACAACATTGCTAGAGTAGATATGAAGGTTGTCTCAGTCCTCCAGCCAGAACTTCCTGCTTTCCAGGACTGAGACGAAACTTCCTATGTGTAACTTGAGATGGGCGTGGCCTCTCCTGAAGTAAAAAGAACCAGAACCACAGGCTGGCGACCATCTAGTCTCTATCGATGCCATCTTAATGACAGCACTACTAAAATGCAACCTTGGCTCCAGGCCAAGAGAATAGCGGGGCTTTCTCCCATAAGGAGATAGTCACCACATTTAAACTATGTTCTAACCTTTTAAGTCTGCCTTCTGGGAACCTTTGTGTGAACAGATGCTTACTTGTGAGTAAACCTTTTATACTTTGCAGAAGACTGTGTAGCATCTTATTTTAGGAGGGATTAAACAGGGAAAATACCAGGAAATGTTTACAGAGACTCTAACGAGTCTGAGCAAGCTATCTGCTGTGCGTGTGTTTAAAAAGGGGGAATGTTAACTCTGCTGATTTTGTGGAACTTATAAAGACAAGTTGGGATAGGATATCTTAGACAATATATCCTCCCCCGCATTCCTAAACATCCCCACACACCCTGCCTCTATGACAGGGAAGACCTTTGACTAGACTAGGTCTTCTTTTCTGATACATTTCAACATTCAACTTTTTCTCTCCAGCTGCCACCCTCATCCCGGTCAACCATATATGTAACAGCTAGGAACCACAAGCCATCAAGGCTCTTTAAAAAGCAACTCTTCTAGTCATCAAAAGCTGCTGAGCAATTATTTTCAGCTTCCTCCAGAACTTTGTAGCCCAAGACGCTTTGCTACCTCAAGAGCAGCACTTGTCCCCCCCCCCCCTTACGTTTCCAAGCACAATTCAAAGTGAACCTTTAAAGCCCTATACGGCCTCGGTTCAGTATACCTGAAGGAGCATCTCCACCCCCATCAGTCTGCCCAAACACTGAGGTCCAGCACTGAGGGCCTTCTGATGGTTCCCTCACTGCAAGAAGTGAGGTTACAGGGAACCAGGCAGAGGGCCTTCTCGATAGTGGCGCCTGCCCTGTGGAACGCCCTCCCAGCAGATGTCAGAGAGATAAACAACTATTTTATTTTTAAAAGACAACTGAAGGCGGCCCTGTTTAGGGAAGTTTCTAGTGTCTGATGCTGTATTGTTTTTAATATTCGGTTGGAAGCCGCCCAGAGTGGCTGGGGAAACCCAGCCAGATGAGCGGGGTATAAATAATAAATTATTATTATTATTATTATTATTATTATTATTATTATTACTACTACTACTACTTGTGTTTGAGGTGATACTTTTAAACATCGCAGCAACATTTAGGCATTGATTTCTTCCTTCTCCTAGCCCTCTGAATTCTGCCACCTGAAGCAGTCTGCTCCACTTCATTGCATGGTAGGGCTGTGCCCTGTTCCAGAAACATCCTCTGTCCACTACTGGTCATTAGGAAGCAAGAGAAATGCTCCTCACTGCATTTGGCACCATGCATCATTTCTGTGAAAATATTCATCCACGCAGTTCTGCTGTCTTCCTCATAGTTCTTCTGTCTTACACCTAATCTCTCATTTACCATGTCAATGTAGCTCTCCATTGCTATGTGGATTTGGTTTTTTCCTCCTCCTTGTACTGTTTGCAGTACTTGTCGGATCGTCCAAATTCCTCTAAGCTCTCTGTTATCTTCTTGTCTCAGCATCGTCTGGCAGGTAAACCTACATCTCCTTGCTGGCATTAAAATCACTGCAGAACTTCCCTTCTGAATCTAAGTACTGTACTCAAATCCCATTTCCTCCATACGACGGAGCCACGATTCTCCATTTCTCTATAGCTAGAAAACATTGTGCACCAGATAGTGAGGAGTCTTCAAAAGTGTGTTGACCTAAATTTCCTTCCAAAGATATGATAGCTCCATTTGCCACTGCGGCACTTAGCGAAGGGGTTGCCATTCCCTAAAGGTCAAGGTCAAGGGTCCCCTGACAGTTAAGAGTCCAGTCGCGAACGACTCTGGGGTTGCGGCGCTCATCTCGCTTTACAGGCTGAGGGAGCCAGCATTTGTCTGCTGCGCACGCAGTTTTTCCGGGTCATGTGGCCAGCATGACTAAGTTGCTTCTGGCGCAAAGGAATACCGACACCAGAGCAGTGCAGGGAAATGGCATTTACCTTCCCGCCAGAGTGGTACCTATTTATCTACTTGCACTTTGACGTGTTTTTGAACTGCTAGGTTGGCAGGAGCGGGACAGAGCAAGAGGAGCTCACCCCGTTGCAGGGATTCGAACCGCCGACCTTTTGATCAGCAAGCCCAAGAAGCTCAGTGGTTTAGACCACAGCCATCCCCTGCCCCACCCCGAACGCCATTCTCTGCTGGTGGTGCCACGATGGCAGGGTCTTAGCGGTGGCAGTTCCTCATGTGTGGAATACAGTTCCTGGTGAGGTGTGTCTGTCTCCCTCATTATTAACATTTGGGTGGAATTGCGGGGGTGGGGGGAGAATCCTGTTCACTAATGGCTGACAAATACTTCTCCTGGCAACGTTGAAATTATTTCTCTATTGTGGCCTTTGATCTTTCTATTTAGAAAAGGTATTAACTGCTTGGCCAAAAGGCCCTCCAAACTGTCTACAAATAAACTTATGGCTAAGACATGGCTAAAATCCACAGATCAATGGAAAACAAATACAGTGGTACCTCAGATTAAGTACTTAATTCATTCCGGAGGTCCGTTCTTAACCTGAAACTGTTCTTAACCTGAAGCACCACTTCAGCTAATGGGGCCTCCTGCTGCTGCCGTGCCACCGGAGCACAATTTCTGTTCTCATCCTGAAGCAAAGTTCTTAACCCGAGGTACTATTTCTGGGTTAGCGGAGTCTGTAACCTGAAGCGAATGTAACCTGAAGCGTATGTAACCCGAGGTACCACTGTATGCATCATTATTATTTATAGAAACATTGAATTATAGAGTTGGGCGCAGAGCGTCATCTAGTCCCTGCAATACAGGAATCACAGCTAAAGAACCCCTGGTGGAATCCAAACTTGCTTTAAAAACCTCCAAGGAAGGAGAGTCCACCGCCTTCCAAACTAGTCAGTTCCACTTGTTGTTGTTGTCACCATTGCCATCACCAACAATCAGCATTAAGAACAAATATAAAATTGTTTGTGTGTTCGGTTGTGTTTTAGAAACCCTGCAAATTATATTGCTTTGTGGTTTACTTGTTTGCTGTACTAGGCTCCTCTGAGAGGAAGGGAAGGACAGACCCTTAACAGCCAAATGTAAAAATAAATAAATAAAACTGTTGTGTGTCCATTGCAGGGTCAATATATGAGGCAAGAGTCCCTGCTTTCTAGCCATGCTTCCTAATCACAAGACTACACCAGCTCACCAGAGGGTTGTGCATTGGCTGAGTCATAGCCTGCCACTATTTTTCGGTGGGATTCACACAAAATTACCAGGAAATTCAGGTTGCACAATTACAGTTGATTGCACAAAAGGCCCTCCCCCTAAATAATCAGATTTTTCTTTGATAAGGAAACTGAGGAGGAAACACATGGGATAACCCATACTTTGATGCAACATCATCTAACCTCCCCACAAATCAGAGTGAAGGTTTGTTAAATAGTCAACGTTCTCTAATCTCCCTGCAAACCAATCAGGATGAAGGCTCAATAAATGAGTCACCAGGAAGCACCCATGATACAAGTCATATAAACCTCTACAATTCTAGGATGCAAACTCTGAATTCACCTCCAGGGACTGTGTTTCCACACTATGGATTTCCCCCCAATCCTGCTTGCCTGCCTGCCTTCCTTCCTTCCTTCCTTCCTTCCTTTCTTTTCCCAAATTATGTTTATTTGTAGCTGTGTGTGTTATGTTTGCATGCCTTTTGTAGACTAGAACAGAAGAGTTAGTTAAGCAATGCAGCCCTAGCAGTAACACAAAGGCAGCTGCCAATGGAAACATCACAGGCTGCCAAAAGATGAATATGTATTTAGAATTATCCCCACAACAACAGATTGTGTTGCTTTGTACAACATGGCTGTGGATTCTGGGCATTGTTGCAGTACAAATATTATGCAAGGTGTGGAGGAAGTGGATAGAGAGAAGTCTCTCTCTCCCCGATTCTCATAATACGAAAACCTAACACCATCCAACGACGCAAGCCGAACATTTGCCGCTTCAGCACAGACAAAAGGAAGCTCTTTCCCACACAGCATATTAGTCAAACTGTGGGATTTGCCCCACAAAAGGCAGCGATGGCCACCAATTTAGATGGCTTGAAAAGAGAATGAGACGAATTCATGGAGGAGATTGGCTATCAATGGCTACTAGTCACAACGGTCAGGGGAAAAAACAATGCTGTCCAGGGTTGTAAAGACTGCGGAGAGAATAATTGGGTGCACTCTTCCAACCTTGGATCAAATCTATGCTTCCAGGTGCCATAAGAAAGCTGCAGAGATAGCGCAGGATAGTGCGCACCCCAGAAATCATCTCTTTCAGCTTCTGCCTTCTGGAAGAAGGTTCAGGGTTATAAAGACTAGGACTAGCCGCCTGAGAAACAGTTTCTATCCAAATGCGATTTTGGTTTTAAACGCAGTGTAAGGTAGTCTGGGTACACTGGGACGTGGGTGGCGCAGAGCCTAGGCTTGCCGATCAGAAGGTCGGCGGTTCAAATCCCCACGACAGGGTGACCTCCCGTTGCTCGGTCCCTGCTCCTGCCAACCTAGCAGCTCGAAAGCACATCAAAGTGCAAGTAGATAAATAGGTTCCGCTCCGGCGGGAAGGTAAATGGTGTTTCCGTGCGCTGCTCTGGTTCGCCAGAAGTGGCTTAGTCATGCTGGCCACATGACCCGGAAGCTGTACGTCGGCTCCCTTGGCCAGTAAAGCGAGATGAGCACTGCAACCCCAGAGTCGCCACGACTGGACCTAATAGTCAGGGGTCGCTTTACCCTTTACCTTTAAGGTAGTCTTTATGCGAGTATATTGTATTCAATTATGGGGTATCAGAGTTTTTAGGGGCTAACCAGGCTGGGATAGCTGGGATAGCAGGCTTGTGGGTTTTTGAATGTCTGATGTATATTTTTTCAATTTCGTTGTTCTGTATAGGATTATGACAATAAAGATTATCATATCGTATCGTAATGGAAGGTTCTCCAAGTGTCCCTATTTTCCAGGGACAGTTAGGGGGTTCACAAAAGCCATCCTGGTTTCTGACACAATCCCAGAATGTCCCTCTTTTCCTTAGGACGTCCCTATTTTCCTCAGAGAAATGTTGGAGGGCATGGAGTTATGCGACTCCTGAGCCAAGGAGATAAGTAACAATCCACCAACCAATCAATCTGCTTTATTGGCTTAAATAAGTAGTTATGCAACCTCTAGAAGACATCTGAAGGCAGCCCTGTATAGGGAAGTTTTTTTAAAATGTTTAATGTTTTATTATGTTTTCATATATGTTGGAAGCCAGGCAAAGTGACTGGGGCAACCCAGTCAGATGGGTGGGGTATAAAAATAAAAATGGAATAGGATGCCCCTATTTTCTCTGGAGGGATGTTGGAGGGTATGCAATGGCTATGTTCAGCTTGCACTGCCAGATGCAGTAAGTGCCTTTGAATTCCAGTGACTGGAAACTGCAGGAAGAGCATTGTGTCATTGAGCTCAGGTCCTGTTTGTGACCTTCCTGTGGGCATTTGGTTGGCCATTGTGAGAACAAGATAAGAACATAAGAAGCGTCTGCTGGATCAGGCCAATGGACCACCTAGTCCAACATCCTGTTCTCACAATAGCCAACTCAATGCCACCGACCATCTACGCAAGGTGGACATAGACGGGAGAGATGGGCCATTGGCATAATCTTCTGGGGAGTAGGATGCTGAACTAGATGCCGAACTGTTCTGACAAACAGACACTTTATGTGCAATGGGTGGGGTGGGAAATATCCAACATTGTGTCAATGGGTGAAGGGCTGAGAGGGAAATGCCTTGTTAATTGCAGGTATTCCCCCTATGACTATGAAATCCCCGTCATTAGTATGATCAGTGCAGGTTCTCTCCCTCAACGCAACACTGCATTCCCTACAGCACCAACTCCCAAGGAACTGCTTGCTATCTACTCCCAGTATAAAAAAAACCTAGCAGTGATCTACCCTCGGTCCTGTATACCTGAAGGAGTGTTTCCACCCACATCGTTCAGCTAAGATCCAGCACCGAGAGCCTTCTGGCAGTTCCCTCATTGCGAGAAGTGAGGTTACAGGGAACCAGACAGAGGGCCTTCTCGGTAGTGGCGCCCGCCTTGTGGAACGTCCTCCCAGCAGATGTGAAGGAAATAAGCAGCTATCCTATCTTTAAAAGACATCTGAAGGCAGCCCTGTTTAGGGAAGTTTTTAATATTTAATGCTGTATTGTTTTTAACACTTGATTGGAAGCCGCCCAGAGTGGCTGGGGAAACTCAGCCAGATGGCCGGGGTATAAATAATAAATTATTATTGTTGTTGTTGTTGTTGTTGTTGTTGTTGTTGTTGTTGTTGAGCTTTTTTTAGGTGGAGATGAGCCAGAGTTGTTGAACTTATTTTGGGAGGGAGCCCATCCAGAATCACTTATATTAATCGACCAAAAACACCCCCGCGATCGAACAGTAGATCGCAATTGACCTGTTGGACATGCCTGCCCTACGTCAAAGATGGGGGAGCCTTTTTTTCCCAGTTGAGGTGCCAGACTCCTCTACGGTCCATTTTCAAGGCATTGTATGTCCGTGGTGGGTGGGACCTGAGGGAAAAGTGGGCAGAGCAACAGGGCACAGCCACACACCTTACCCTATCCTGCAGCCAGCCATGGTCACAGCTCAAGGACACACTCCAGGCAGGAACAAGCACCCAGGGAGATCAAAGAGGGAGGTCACCAAGCGGTGTGGCTTGGGAAGAGACCCAGGTGCCAGATAAAAAGGCCAGGATCTGTCCCCCTAGACCTGAGATTCCCAGCTGCAGCCCGAAGTAGAATCATAGAATTGTAGAGTTGGAAGGGATCCCTAGTCCAACCTCCTGCAATGCAGGAATCTCAGCTAAAGCATCTATGACAGATGGCCATCCAACATCTGCTTAAAAACCTCCCAGGAAGGAGAGTCCATCACCTCCCGAGGGAGACATCATGGATCTGTTTCTTGGTTGCATGTCTTGATCACCCTTCAAAAATGACTCTTGCTGCTGTTTGAAAGACCAAGTTTTCTCGGCATGGACAAAATCTGGTGCTGATAAGCAATGCTAAAATTTTAGCTCAGGCCTCGAGGGTGGGCATTAAAAATGAAACGTTACTTGACTGGGTGAATTAATGCCTTATGTTGAGGAGATGATGCATCTTCATTTAGAAAGAAGACTTCTTAATTTGGCATATTATTTACTCTTTGTCCTGCTCGTGTGTCAAGCTTGACATCTGTAGTGTTATAATGAATGCTTAAATAATATGCTTATTAAAAGCGTTTGTCTGTGGGCCTGACTGCTGTTGTTTTCGTGTTGATCGGCTTTTAGCTGTTGCCAGTTTTTCATTTTAATTTACAGATTTAGATATTAGAGTGAAGCAAGCTTCATCAAACTTTATTCTGAATATCTGTTCCCTCCAACCACCAGGTAAAGCTACCTTATTTTACCACTTTTGACTTGTTTAACCTGGTGTTCCATCTGAAATTAATATCCTGCTTTGCTAATATAAGAATTAACAAGGTCTCTGCTATTCTCTCTCCCCAAGAACCTTTGTTTCATTCTGTTGACAGATCTTGAGAATTGCTGGATTTTACATTTTCAGAAAAGGGGAATCAGCCACTGGCCCAGTCTTCAAATAACACTAAACCATGGTTTGGCAGAAACAAGCAAACACAAGGGTTCATTGAGAAGACCAACTACTGGGCTCTTCCTTCAGTCCTGCTGTTGCCATGTTACATGGGACTAAGCGATGGTTTGGCTAAGTGTTACATCTGAAACCAAGTTCATGGTTTGTCTTCCCCCATGAAAACTGAAAACCAAGAGCAAACCTTGGCTACAGTTCACAGCTTGTCTGGAGTGAGACCACCCACAAACCTGGGAATAGATGTAATGCTAAACCAAACCTTGGCTTAGCCCCGGATAATGCAGCAGCAGGAGGAGTGGAGGAATAGAGCAGCAGCTGCTGTCTTTGCTCTGGGAACTCATTTGTTTGTGCTAAGCCATTGTTTAGCTATGCATTACATGCAAACTGGGTCATTGTATCTTGTATCAGCATCCCAAGGTGTAACCTAAAATCTAGTTGGCACCTAGGTAGTGGATAGTGGTCCATTTGGACACCAATCTCAGGCTAACTTCTACCAGCCTCTACCTGCCTGCTTTCCCACTTACAACCAGTCCAGAGGGTGGCACCACCAGTCAGCTTCTTCCTCCTTCATTTCAGTGCTTCCGTTGTAGAACTGAGCAGAGAGGAGAATGAGGATGAAAGCTTGGCTCTGGCTACACCTACTGTTGACCTCCCAGCCTTCTGCACCACCAGTTCCAATGGGGCCCCAGAAACTGGTGAACCCAAGAGAGTTTCACCTAATAACTCTGCTACCTTCCCCCCACACTCCATCTTAAGATTGACACCATTGCAGACCAGAAGCTTGCTCCATATTTTGTGGCATTTACCTTGACCTACTATGGATTTTGTGAGCTTCATATGTTCCCATTGATTTCAGTGCGAGAGAATTAGCTTAACTGGAAGTGCTCTAACATTTGGTCATGACCCACATTCAGAACATTATAAACTACAGAACCTCAAGCAGTCCCGGGCAAAACCAGATTGAGATTGCTTACCTCATCCACATTCTCAAAGGCATTAATGATGTCATAAGGTAAACATGACAAAAGGTCTATCACGAACCAGGTTTTCAGGTAGTTCATCCTGATGAGTTTGGGATCTGAGATGACCTCTCCACCAGGTCCAACAAAGGTTGTGTGAAAATTCAGGACTATGTCTACCAGGAAAATAACATCCACCACGCTATCCAGAACCAACCATGCAATGTTGTTCTGCTTGGTTTTGAAGGACACGTTGTAAGGAACCATGATGGCCGTGTAGAAGGTAAGGATTAAGATGACCCAGTCCCAAGTGGTCTTGAAAGCGCAGTAGTGTAAAATGATATGTGGTGGAGTCTTTGGGGCTTCTTGCTTGTATTGTGGAAGAATATCGGAACCCAGCTGGAGAACCTTAAAATAAAAGATACGCAGGTGTTACCACATGGGTTATTGCTCATTACAGCATGAACTCCCACAAACCCAATTCAAGGAAAGACGGCAGCTCAGTGGTAGAGAATGCTGAAGGTTCTAGGTTCAATCCCTGGCATCTCCAGGTAACATTGGGACTGTCCCTTGCCTCAAATCCCAGAAAGCCATTTCCAGTCGGTATAGACATTACTGAGCTGAATGAACTAGTGGTCTGACTCAGGATAAGGCAGCTCTATATATTTCCTATGTAGAAGGATGGGGTAGAGGTCTACATCTAAATAAATAAGTTGTAAGATCTTTGGGGCTGGGTCCTGTCTTCTAGTGCTAATGATGGTATATATATATAATCATCATCACCACCACTACCATCATCATCAGTAAGTAAAAATATTTTTCATTCTTGCCCTTTTGCTCCACTGGCTTCCCATCCTACTCCATCACCATCCTAGAACAATCAAAGCTTTCTCTCTATCTCTCTTTCTTGGTGTTGCTTCCATCTCAACGAGGTCTTTTCTTCCTGGGAAAGGAAAAGTGGCCCTGCAGCTTATACTTGAAACTTTGGCTGGTGGTTCTTTCTGTCTGCAAAGTTACACACACACACACACACACACACACACACACACACAGACAGACAGTTTCAGATCAGGAGAGGAGAGCATTTGTTTGACACTTACTTCAGCTAACCGTGAGTGTTTATGGACCACCTCGGCTTTGTTCATAGGCGTTAGCTGCTGCAGAACACTCCGACTGTTCGTCAAAGCTCGTGTCAATCGAGCAAACTTCGTCCAGCCTGCAAAGAGGAAGGAGAACATTGTGAGGTTCACTGGTTGGCAATGACCATCGGTCATCTTCTCATTCAGAACGTAGGGGTTGCAACAATGTCCCAGTGCCAGCAATGGTATCCAAATGCTATTCCTGCAGTCTATCTTGGAACGTTAAGGTCTGCAACGTTTAGCTAATCTATAGGTAGGATTAAACTGATTTTTAAAATTGTCCGATGAACTGAAAAACTTTTTTCCCTGATCATCTTTTCCCCATCCACACTCTGGAATCTACATAAATCTAGCATTATTTACAAGGATTTAGGGGATAATTCATCAGTACCTGCAGAATAGACCATAGAATGAACCCAACTAAGTGAAGAAACCATGAGCGATGAATTCCATCAGTCTCCTTAGCCAACAAAAAGCTAACTGGACTTGGGTCAATATAGCCAAAATTCTTTTCCTTAAGAGTTTTAAATCCTACTGTGCAGTTACAGGGGTTCGACCAACATAAAGGAGAACAAACAGAGGACAATCATATTGAGAGCTGGAAAGTAGAAGAGGCAAAAGGTATCCTAGCTCAGCAACTATATAAGATCAGCATCTGAGACACCCCTCCAAGGCATGCCGTGGGTGGTCCAGGCTTGCTAGGACTAGATTTGTTGCTTGTAGAGTCTAGGGTGGAAGGTTAACAGAGAGTAACTACCCTGCTATTATAGCAAGAGTGGGGAACCTCAGGCCCAGGGCTCAATTGCAGCGCTCTCTAACGAGCCTGCAGACTCCATCCAGGCCCTTGAATGTTTTTGCTTAATTGGAAAGTTTGATTGAACCATGATAATGCCACTTGCCCCGAATGGAGAGATGGGGGTGTAGAAGGACTTTGTGTGGTTCAGTGGTGGCACCAGAAACAAAAAATATGGGCAGGCGCAGAATGGGCAAAGTATATTTGTAGGTGGGTGACATATTAATGACAAGAGTTCAGAAATGGGGGGCAAGTGGGCAGGTGAGCTCTTTGTGGGATGTGCTTGGCCCTCCTTCCCTCCTCTGGCTCTCCCTATGGTGTGGCTAGAATCATAGACTCATAGAATCGTAGACTCCAGAGTAGGAAGGGACCCCTTGCAATGCAGGAATCTCAACTGGATCATCCATGACAGATGGCCATCCAACCTCTGCTTAAAAACCTCCAAGGAAGGAGAGTCCACAACCTCCCAAGGCGACTGTTCCACTGTCAAACAGTTCTTACTGTCAGAAAGTTCTTCCTGGTGTTTAGGTGGAATCTCCTTTCTTGTAAGGCCATTTGTTTGAGTCCTACCCTCCAGAGCAGGAGAAAACAAGCTTGTTCCCTTTTCGATGTAGCCTACTGAACCAAATGGTATCTGTTGCTCCACCTACTTTTGCTTCTGGCCCCACCCACCCCAGTATGCAGCCGCTGGGAGGTGGTACATGAGCAAACAGGTCCTTTGGGGTGTAAAATGTCCCCCCAACCATGGATTACAGGAAGAGGGTGGTTGCTCCATTGCTACAGGGCAATATTTGTATGCTGTTTATGACTCCTACATTTATCTGAATTATCTCAGCTTAGTCAGCTATTTTGAATTTTTGATGGCAGATGGTCAGTCAGTCAATACTTATTCCCAGAAGTTTAGGTCATTAATCTGCATAGTGATCAGATTAAAGCTTTTAATATTTTATTTCCTCCTTTTTGTACTCAAAACGATAGAACATGCTTTTGCCTGACCCTTTCCTCTTTGGTCATTCAGCAGAGCCAGTGCTTACTGAATACAGAATAACCCATTTTTTAAAAAAAGAATTAAGAACCTTGGGCTGCTTAAGGTGACAGGAACACAGAAGGAATGAATTCCCTTGATTTGTTTGGTTCATTTGATTAAGAGAATTCATACCCCGCATTTCAGCCAGTTAAGCTCCCAGGGTGGGTTGCATACAATCAATGAAAACACTGTGGTCCCTGCTTGCAGATTTAACAATCTAAAACACATTACACAAAATGGATAATGGGGCTGGGAGAATAAATGGATTTGGGGACTAGGATAGGAAGGGAAGAGAAAAAAGGAAAATGCGGGTGCTAATTCTGAAAGTTCAAGAGGAACACTTTTTCTGCATGCAAAATACCCCACTTCCACTACAGAAATACAACACTGGGTGCTGCAGATAGGTATTATTACTGTTGCTGATATATTTTCATAGAATCACAGAATCATGGAATTGAAGAGCTGGAAGGATCCCCACGGATCATCCAGCCCAACCCCCTGCCATGCAGGAATCGCAGCTAAAGAATCCCTGACAGATGGCCATCCAATCTCTCTTTAAAAACCTCCAAGGAAGGACAGCCCACCAACTTCTGAGATAATCCATTTCATTGTTGAACAGTTCTTGCTGTCAAAGTTCATCCTAATTTAGTTGGAATCTCCTTTCTTGTCACTTGAATCTATTAGTTTGGGTCCTACCCTCTGGAATAGCAAAATACAAGCTTGCTCCATCATATCGCCTCTCAGTCTCCTCGTTTCCGGGCTAAACATATCCAGTGTGCTGGGCCCGGGAGTAACCCGTGCAATGCGGTCCAGGACCGGTCCAGAATCTGAAGCCAGAATCTGACTTCCATTAGGAGTCAGTCCGACAGGTCCAAGGCAGGAAACCAGGCAAGGACAGGTACAGGATCTCAGGCAGGGTCTAGCATACAGCAATGTTGCTCCCACAACCTGGGGTGGGGCCCAACAGCCTTTTTTCTTTGTCGGGGTAGCAGCCAGTCCTGATCCCCAGTGACTCACCTCCCTGTTTTGCCCGAAAGCGAGCACTCCTCCTGCGAGTACTCAGGTCTCTCCTTCTCTCAGACCTTAGTCTCTGCAGCTCGGGAGATGTCGGTGGGTTACTGGACCCAGAGGCCACCTCAGCCTCTCCTGACCCAACTGGCAGTGGAGCAGCTGCAATTGATTGCCCAGCTGAAGGCAACGAGGTAATTCCCGCATATGGAGCCAGGGCAGGCTCAGGCCCCTGACTTGGCCCAGCTGGTGTTTGTTGCAGGGAAACCTGTGCAGACTGGGACTCTTCAGGATCAGGCCCCAGACTTGGTTCAGATGATGCCTGAGGCAAAGGATCCAGTGCAGACTGAGTCTCCTCTGGTTCCGAGTCCCAGGCCATCACACCCAGTTCCTTCAACCATTCCTCTGAATGATTTCCAGACCCTTGATCATCTTGGTTGCCTTCTTCTGCACACGTACCAGCTTGTAAATATCCTTCTTAAATTGTGGTTGAAGATAGCTATCATATCTACCTCCCAGAAGTAAAGTATATCCCTCAGGGTTAGAAGCCGGGGATGGCTTGTTCCCCATGAGTTTGTCTAATCCTCTTTTAAAGCCATCTAAGTTGGTGGCCATCACTGCTGCTTGTGAGAGCAAACTCCATCCCTCACATCTCTCACACTTCAGCAACTGCTAAGCCCTAAGGCTCTTCTCTGGCAGTGGTGGAGCACCACTGATGCAGTTAACTTCTTCAAGCAGAAAAGGAACATCTCCTCAACATTCATTTAGCGTTTTGGCTGCTCAGAACACATTAATCAGGGCCTTCTGCATGGAGATGACTGGGACACGGCCTTGACTTGGTACCACTCTGAGACTTCTGAAGCAACTGCAGAAGCATGGGATCATTCTAGCCTTCAGGAGGAAATAACTTTTTTTCTCCCACAGACTGGAGCTTGTACTGTTCATTCGCCCCCTCCAAATCAATGAGCCTTCCGAAAACGACTTCTTGTGCAGTGGCTTGGCAGGACACAGGGCGAAAGACTGTGCTTCCAGCCTTCTTCTTCATTTAAACTAATGAAAGTAAAATGCTCTCACTTGCCAAAAATCAATAGAGCAGTTTTGTAATTGTGTCGTCCTGACTCCCAGTCCGAAACATAAAGTATGCCTCTCCATTGGTTTCTCGTCTGATTATACTGATTATGGAGTGTTCCAGGGCCAGGAAACCTGAGGAGACCTGATCCAGAACAATGAAAATCAATCTGGACATCTGTCATTGTCTTTGAGAGCTGAAGGGTCATTCAGCCACCAGTTACCTCCAAAAAAACCAACAACCTTCTTTGCCACCATTATAAGAGTGCTGAAGGAAGTCCATTCATTATATCACATAATATTAATGTTCCGTTAAAATTGTTAGCTCTAGATTTGTTCCTGGGTCCATTTCGAGGTGCTGGTTCTGTCCTTTAAAGCTCTAAATCAGGACTCAGAAGCTCAGGACCAGGGCTGACTGAGGCCCACCAGACCTCTGTTTTTGGCCGTTGGGATCCTGCCCAGCCCTAACCCTCGCTGGCCTGCTGCTCACTCTTCTTGAATGTTTTCGCTTGGCTAGAAAGTGTCCCTTAACTCTGGTCAGAGCTTGAATCTACTATATTATTTTGGAAAGTCTTGTCTGTTCTCTGTTGGTTTCAGATGCCTCTCAAGAGATCATCACCCAGTTTGGCATGATGGTTCCTGAGGTGGAGGAGGTGGTTATTTGCCTACTGGGTACCATTTTGAATACAGATGGTGAACCAAATCATTCCAAACTGCACCAATGTGGATGCCTCTGAAGATATCGTTACCTGGAGATCTGATCGTGGACCTTGAACATGACATGTCACATAGCTCTGGTGAAGAAGGGCAGGGTGCAAATGAACAAACAAATAAACAAAGCAGTTGGCCGTACACTGACGGGTGTGTGTGTGTGTGTGTGTGTGTGTGTGTGTTTCCTCCTTTTATCATCAAACACTCTCTTTCTGGCTCATAAATCAAACTAAATGTTTTCTAGCAAAGCTCAACTTTAAGAAGACTGGATGCTGGGGGAAGGTGCTCTGTGCATTGGATAAGCAGAATTGCCATCAAAATGTTGGGGCATGCCAGAGGAATGTGCCAAATGGAACGGAAAAACACCAGACGGTTCTAGGTAGGGTCAGTTCCTTTACTTACAGTATAAACCAGTTCCATGGCATATAGGTTGGCCTATGTGGAGGTGCCCTTCCCTTGCTCTGAAGGGGCATAGCTAGAAGGGGTGTTTGCCTGAGAGGGAGGTTATAGGGTTAACATGCCTGATCTGAGCTAAGCGTGCTCAATAAATGGCATCGAGTGGGATTTATTGAGCTCTAAGAGCAGGAATAAAAATGGAGAAAGTCCTTTCCATGATCCAGAAAGGGAAGATTCTGGCACTGGGCTGGTACTGCAGGAGTGTCTCCACCCCCATCGTTCAGCCCAGACACTAAGATCTGGCACCAGGTCTTCTGGCGGTTCCCTCACTGCGAGAAGTGAGGTTACAGGGAACCAGGCAGAGGGCCTTCTCGGTAGTGGCGCCCTCCCATCAGATGTCAAGGAAATAAACAACTACCTGACTTTTAGAAGACATCTGAAGGCAGCCCTGTTTAGGGAAGTTTTTAATGTTTGATGTTTTATTGTGTTTTTAATATTCTGTTGGGAGCCACCCAGAGTGGCTGGGAAAATCCAGCCAGATGGGCAGGGTATAAATAATAAATAATATATGATGATGATGATGTCCCAAGGATGGAGAGTCTATCAGTTGAGAGAGTGGGGATTTTTTTGCAGGGGCGTAGTTCAGCGCACACTTTGTGTGCAAGTATCAGGTTTCATCCCTGGTGTCACCAGTCTAAAGTCTGGCATTGTGACTTTTCCTGTGGACCTGAGAACCGCTGCCGGTCCAACTAAACCAGGAGTAGCAAAGGTGGAACCTGCCAGATGTCTTATAGTAGACCATTGTCCCATCTACCTGTGGCTCTCAAGGGCTGTCTTCCCCAGTGTGGTGGCCTAAAGACTACAAGTCCCATCATCCCTGACCACGGGCCTTACTGGCTGGGGCTGATGGGAGTTGGACTCTAACAGCTAGGGAACTCCACATTGCCTATCCCTGGACTGGAGGTTGCTAGGCTAGACGGACAAGAAATAGTCTAATCCAGAACAGGGCACCTTCTTATATTGCTCTTTCCTGGACCACTGCCAAGCATGTCATCACCAGGGAAGTGTTTCTGTTTTGTTCTTTGCCAAAAGCAGACTGGTGCGAATTACAGCACTGTCCTCAAGGCTGTCTCGGGAACTGGGTTCCATCTGGCTTCGTTATTATTAGCAGGTTTCCTCTGCCGAAAAAGGCCACCGTGACTAGCTCTTTCCTTAATAAAACATTAGCGTAGCTCTATTGGGTTGCAATTAACCTCTTTGTCATGGATTGCCTCATCTCTGAAAGCGAAGGAAATAATGAAGGCATTTAAATCAATGTGTCAGAGTGGCATTCGAGATCTTAATCGCTAACAAAAATGCTTAGGTTAACAACAATGATCAGGGTAGAAGGACTGCGGGAGAGTAATGATGGCAATTCTCAGGCTGACAGTTGCCCACACAAGTAGAAGTGACACCATGAGACAATGGGAGGGTCATTGGGCTCGTCTTGCAGTCCACCATACCTGTGCACACAGCTGCACGCAATGCTGGAAGCAACATGTATAGAGAACAGCCCAAGGAATGCACTTCCTTGGGGGCAAACTCCCAGTCACTACATGCTAGCGGTGTTAAGAATAATTGTTTTATTGTACATTGAAATGGAAAATAACTGCCTGTACACCCTTGTGCAAATTAATTGAAACAAACAATGTAGTTTATTGTACAAAACTCACATATACATGTACAAAACTCATGTATATGTACATTAGTAACAGATATGACATGGACTGCAAGAAGATCAAACCTATCCATTCTGAAGGAAATCAGCCCTGAGTGCTCACTGGAAGGACAGATCATGAAGCTGAGGCTCCAGTACTTTGGCCACCTCATGAGAAGAGAAGACTCCCTGGAAAAGACCCTGATGTGGGGAAAGATGGAGGGCACAAGGAAAAGGGGACGACAGAGGACAAGATGGTTGGACAGTGTTCTCGAAGCTACCAGCATGAGTTTGACCAAACTGCGGGAGGCAGTGGAAGACAGGAGAGCCTGGCGTGCTCTGGTCCATGGGGTCACGAAGAGTCGGACATGACTAAACGACTAAACAACACATTTTTCAGCAGCATTTGAACATAGTTTGGCAGAGTCTACTAGTTTTGAACAGTCACTGTTGATTTTTGGATCCCTGTACCATACTTGAATTAGCGCCTGAATGATCTTCTCCATAGTCGTACAGTCTACAGCATGGAGGCAACTTTTGCATATAGCCCACAAATTCTCAATGGGATTTATGTCTGGGGAATTCTCTGGCCAATCAAGTACCTGTATTTGCTGCTCTGTCCTGATTTTCTTCACCACTTTCGGTGTGTGACAGGGGGCTAGGTCCTGCTGCAATATCCCAGTACCGTCAGGATACCTCTTTTCCAGATCTGGAATAACTCTCTTTCGTAGAACCTCAATATATTGTGGCAAGCGCATCATTCCTTCTATGGGCTGCAGGCTTCCGACACCATAATGATCAACTGACTTTTTGTGTTTGTTTTGAGTACAGGATTACGAATAAGATAGAAAATATGCTTTGTTTCAATTAATTTGCACAAGGGTGTATGTGTACTGCTAAATGCATAGCATGGAAACTTCCACTGAAGCTAAACAAAAAAGTTGCAGAGAGCCTGACAGTTGATAATTAACTTAGAATGTATCTCTGCTACTCTGCCAAGAGGTGTTTAACTTAGATCACATGGGGTATTCCATTGCAAATCTCCATGTTGAGTGTGTGAGTCAGTCTTTTGTTCTCAAGCCACCAAACAGGATGCTGTGTTAATGACTTTCTCCAGGAACACAGCCTCAGGATGGAATGTAGGCTGTGTGTAGAGAGACAGAGTTTTGTTTTCAGGCTCTGGGTGAAGTAATTTCATCTTTCTAAGATGTTCCACCTGTGCACATGGTATTCTGCAACTATTTGGATGTAACATCGTTGTTTTGAGTGTCTGTTTTGGAGCAAGTTCTGTTAGTAAAGCTTTTGAAACCTGTTTTTGGACTGGACAATTTTTATTCCAAGTCAGTTTTTATTCATCCTATTGCTTCCAAATGCACAATATCAATAAATCCAATAGGTAGTGGGTGGAGCCAGAGATAAACGTAGGCAAAGCAAGAAATGTGATTTTACCTTAATACAAAATGCTCGTTTCTACATGCACTCTCACACTCGTCTCTATCCTCCCTCCAGGCAAACAATGAGCATAATCATAGCTCATGAACACATTCCAGCCAGACTGGAGGGTGCAAAGAAGAGCCAATGAAACACATCAGCAGTGGTAAACTTTGGGCTCTCAAATTTCAGCAGCGCCTTGTGCAACGCTAAAAATTTGGAACACGCGCCCCTCGCCTCTCTCGCTCAGGTCTACAGCATTGTTTTGGCACCCCCTGCAGCAAAACTCCCAGTGCAACCACACCGGATGCACTACAGAACTACACACTGCACCAAGGAACTACACAACTTTTAGAAGACAGCCCTGTATGTTTGAAGTTTTATTATGTTTTTATATTTAGCTGGAAGCTGGCTGGGGAAACCCAGCCAGATGGGTGGGACATTATTATTATTATTATTATTATTATTTATTACAGTCGTGTCTTGAAAGTCAAATGGAATCTGTTCCGGAAGTCCATTCAACTACCGAAACATTTGGAAACCAAAGTGTGGCTCCTGCAGCCAATCAGAAGCCATGCAAACTGCACCAGACATTCGGCTTCTGAAAATCGTTCGAAAACTGGAACACTCACTTCCAGGTTTCAATCATTCAGGAGCCGATTTGTTTGGGAGCCAAGGCATTTGAGATGCAAGGTACAACTGTATTATTAATTATTATTATTATTATTATTATTTCTGTAGCTGACTTAAAAACCTGTGCTGAAAAGAGATCTGTGGGCACTGCACATGAAAAACCCTCTGCAGAGCAGTTGTCAAGATAGCGCTTTGAAAGGGGCAAAAGAGGGTCACCTGACACCATTGTGGCATCAGGTGATTGACAAGCGGGAATCGCTTCCCACCGCCCACAAAGGTTATTGGAGGAGATAACAATCTGGCCCCCAAGCCAGGTCCAGTCTCCCACCCCTCCTTTAATGTCAAAGAAGCCAGTTGCAAGATGCCAGCGGCTGGTGGCATCCTCATCCCAGACAAGCAAAGGCAAAGACTTGTTTAAGCTGACGCCTTGCCTTGAGCCAAACTCTACTCAAGGAAGAAGATGAGAGTTTTCAAATGATGGAGGACCTGTCAGCCAGCAGAGTGTAAAACGTACTTAGTGCTCTACTGGGGCCCCATCATCTATGTAGGAAGAGAGACAGGGAACATTTGCAGCCTCGCTTTACAGGCACTGAAATTCTATAGGATGCCAGCTCATTAAAAACACAAAACAGGCATTTCAGAACCCTCTCCCCGTTCAATTTTTTAGATGTGTCATGATTCTGCTGCTAAATGTTTTAAAGATTAGCTTTAATAATAAATGCAAATTGTTGCCTTGTTTTGCATGCAAAGAAGCTCTGCCTTTGAAAAGAGAGTACTGTGTTGTGCTGAATCGAAGAATGTGGGAGAATTCTAATGGAAATGAGAAAGAGTTATAAATTGCCATTGTCTGCTTATTTGTCCCGTATCCGGAACAGAAATCAATCCAGGGAACAACCGTCAGTATACACCGGTGCTGCTGTTTTCAGTTCACAAACGATACATAAATGACAGCACTTAAATTGTGTTTTCTTTTCCACTGAAACGACTAGCCTCTGCAATGAAATGAATGGCATGGGGATAGTTACACCAAATTCACAACTTGCATAAATCATGGAAATAATTATGCAAGTTAAATAAAATTGTGCGGACGGTGAAGGAGGGCAAGGAAGTATTTAGCGAACCCTAGGCTTCAGTGGAATGGAAACAGAACTGGCTGTTGGAGAGGTTGGGATGGAAATGGCTGCTTTCTTACATGCCTGGCTACATCAGGTCATTGATCCAGGATCCAACATACTAATAGCAAGTTCCTTGTGCTGCATGTGGATCCTTACAGAGACAGAATGGCACCATCCACACACAATAGCAGGGATGGGGAACTGTAATCCTCCAGGTGCTATTGGAATATGACCTGTGCTTTTCTTCTGGAAAGAAAGAAAAAAGCACCAGTACTGCGTACCCTTGAATACTCCCAGAAGAAAGCACTGGGTATAACTTCCATCCGGATGTGGGTGGCGCTGTGGGTTAAACCACTGAGCCTAGGACTTGCCGATCAGAAGGTCAGCGGTTCGAATCCCCACGACGGGGTGAGCTCCCATTGCTCGGGCCCTGCTCCTGCCAACCTAGCAGTTCGAAAGCAAGTCAAAGTGCAAGTAGATAAATAGGTACCGCTCTGGCGGGAAGGTAAAAGGGTGTTTCCGTGTGCTGCTCTGGTTCAGAAACTTTTGGGGTGTCCTGGTTTTTACTTTTTGGAATATGGCAACCCTGAATTCCAAGAAATGTCAGGAAAAACTTTCTGACAGTAAGAGCTGCTCGACAGTGGAACAGAATGTTTTGGAAGGCGGTGGATTCTCCCCCCTTGAGGCTTTTAAACACTGGTTGGCAGGCCATCTGTCAGGGATTATTCAGTTGAGATTCTAGCATTGCAGGGGGTTGGACTAGATGGCCCTTGGGGGTCCCTGACAACCCTACAATTCTATGCTTCCATGAATACAGCATGAGAGAAACTGAAATTGATAGATATGCCCATCGTTACCTGGGAGTAAGGAGCATTGAACTCAGCGGGACTGACATGCATAGGCCTGCAATGTACTTTTAAAAACACAAATGATGAATCAATTAAACACGGCAGCTCTACTTATTAAGAGCATTTATTATCTAAGAGAGCAGCTCTGATCCCTCCCATAAAACTGAAAGCATCATTGAAAGGGTGCTGTGTGTAAGGATATGAGCTATCCCACTGCTATTTCTTCCAACATTAAAAAATAAAAAAATCTGCTTTGTTACCGCTCTCAAAAGACGTCACGATAGAAAACTGGTTGCATAAGGGGACTTTGCTATAGCAATAACTGGCGGCTATTGATCCCAGACTCTTCAAATTGCCTTAATAAAGATAGTATCTTGAAATAACTCTGGTTCTGCTGTCTTCCTCCGCCCAGACATTTTTATTTATTTATTTTTTAAGGAATAGATGCACGGTATTGTTCTACAGCCCAGAATTCTGTGCCAAGATCTTTTAGGAACCAACAGCATAAAGACACAGTATTGGCCTTGTCAAAGTGCTATTGATTATGTGAGCAGTTTCAACGTTTTTTCCATATTTACCAGACTTATCCTTATATAGCAGAGGTAGGGAACTAAAGGCAACTCAAATGAGCAACAAGATAGTGACTCCCCTATAAAGAAAACTGCAGCATTGGGGACTTTTTAGTTTAGAGAAAAGGTTAGAGGTGACATGATGGAAGTTTATAAAATCATGCATGGATAGAGAAAAGTTTTTCCTCCCTCTCTCATAAAACTGGAAGTCGTGGGCACCTAATGAAGCTGAATTTTGGAAGATTCGGGACAGATAAAAGAAGCTACTTCTTCACATAAGGTAAAGGGTAAAGGGACCCCTGACCATTAGGTCCAGTCGTGACCGACTCTGGGGTTGCGGCGCTCATCTCGCTTTATTGGCCGAGGGAGCCGGCGTACAGCTTCCGAATCATGTGGCCAGCATGACTAAGCCGCTTCTGGCGAACCAGAGCAGCACACAGAAACACCGTTTACCTTCCCGCCGGAGCGGTACCTATTTATCTACTTGCACTTTGATGTGCTTTCGAACTGCTAGGTTGGCAGGAGCAGGGACCGAGCAACAGGAGCTCACCCCATCACGGGGATTTGAACCGCCGACCTTCTGATCGGCAAGTCCTAGGCTCTGTGGTTTAACCCACAGCACCACCCGTGTCCCTACTTCTTCACATAGCATGTAGTTAAACTATGGAACTCTCTGCTGCAGGAAGCAATGGTGGCCACTGACTGAGGTGGATTTAAAGGAAGATTAGACAAATTCATGGAGGAGAGGGGTATCAATTGTTGATATTTTCACCCCTCCCATTGACAGAATCTCCTGATCTGATGTTTTGAGAAAGGAGGGGGCGGAAACTGCTCTTCCACTCTTCCGCTCCCAACTGACTGCCTGACTCTGTGTGTGGAGAGTCTTATCTATGTAGTGACCAGATGGCTGAGTGGGAACTCATGCAAGCCAGTACATTGGTACCTCGGGTTAAGTACTTAATTCGTTCCGGAGGTCTGTTCTTAACCTGAAACTGTTCTTAACCTGAAGCACCACTTTAGCTAATGGGGCCTCCCGCTGCCGCTGCCGGAGCACTATTTCTGTTCTCATCCTGAAGCAAAGTTCTTAACCTGAAGCACTATTTCTGGGTTAGCAGAGTCTGTAACCTGAAGCGTATGTAACCTGAAGCGTATGTAACCCGAGGTACCACTGTAGTTTGTTAGTTTGTAGTAGCTATTAGAAATAAAAGGAGTTATGCTTCACAGCTAGCTTCCACGTTATTTACCGTATTTTTCACTCTATAAGACGCACCAGACCACAAGACACACCTAGTTTTTGGAGGAGGAAAACACAAAAAAAAATATTCTGAATCTCAGAAGCCAGAACAGCAAGAGGGATCGCTGCGCAGTGAAAGCAGCAATCCCTCTTACTGTCCTGGCTTCTGGGATAGCTGCGCAGCCTGCATTCGCTCCATAAGACGCACACACATTTCTCCTTACTTTTCAGGAGGGAAAAAGTGAGTCTTATAGAGCAAAAAATACGGTATACTCTTCATGAGTCTGGTGCTCACAATGCACAGTTGTGGGTCCAGTGCACTAGGACATGTTTTCCAGGATTGGAAGGTCTCTGAAAGTGCTCCAGTCGCCTAGCCTAGTCGGGACAGAACCAGTTATTGAGCCCAGTCGCTGACATAGGTTGAAAGGCGTACTGACATCAATGGCTGTCAGCCACCATGGCTATGCTCCGGCAGTGCTTCTGAATACCAATTGCTCAAAACCACAGGAGCGAAGAGGGCTCTTGTGCTCAGATCCTGCTAGTGTGCGTCTGGTCAGAAGGGGCAGATGCAGTAGATGGGCCATTGGCCTGATCCAGCAGGCTCTTCTTTTGTTCACCCCTCCTCCTTTCTGCAAAACGCTGATGAACATTGTGTTGAATAGGCTGATTTCCATGTGGATAAGAATAAGGGACTGAGCTCAGAAAGAGGAAGCACTTCGTTTCAACCTCACCTCTGCCAGGAGCGTGTGCAGAGGAGGGCAACCAAGAATCTCAACTGAATAATCCCTGACAGATGGCCTGCCAACCAGTGTTTAACCCACAGCGCCACCCACTTAAAGGACCCCTGACCGTTAGGTCCAGTCGTGGCCGACTCTGGGGTTGTGGCACTCATCTCGCTTTATTGGCCGAGGGAGCCGGCGTACAGCTTCCAGGTCATGCGGGCAGCATGACTAAGCCGCTTCTGGCGAACCAGAGCAGTGCACGGAAACGCCGTTTACCTTCCCGCCGGAGCGGTACCTATTTATCTACTTGCACTTTGACGTGCTTTCGAACTGCTAGGTTGGCAGGAGCAGGGACCGAGCAACGGGCACTCACCCCGTGGCGGGGATTCGAACCGCCGACCTTCTGATCAGCAAGTCCTAGGCTCTGTGGTTTAACCCACAGCATCACTGCAAGGAATTAGCATGTCTTCCATTATTGATGCCTTCCATATATTGTTTGTTAGAGTATATACTACTTAGAGTTTTTTGAGATATTTAACAGTATATAAATGCTAATAAATAAACAGATAAATATAGCAAAGTACATGTGAAAAGGATCTAAGGGTCTGGGTGGACCACAAGCTTAACAGGAATCCACAATGTGATGTAGCAGCAAAAAAAAGCTAACACTCTTCTAGGCTGCATCAACCTATAGTGTCCCTGTCAAGGGAAGTTATAGTACCACTTTGTTCTGCCTTAGTCAGAACACACTTGGAATACTCAGAGCCAGGTAGAGGCCCAGGCCAGGTAGATAATGTGGCCTCCTTTGCGCCTCTGCATTCGCCCCAGTGTATCCCTGCGATTGTGAATATGCTGACTGAGGCCCCCTTTGGAATCAGAGGCCCGGGCCAAGTGGCCCATATGCCCCCCCCCCTGTCTGGGCCTGGGAATACTGTGTCCAGTTCTGGGCACCACAATTTAAGAAGGATGTTGACAAGCTGGAACATGTGCAGAGGAGGGCAGCCAAGATGATCGAGTGTCTGGAAACCAAGCCTGATGAGGAGTGGTTGAAGGAGCTGGGTATGTTTAGCCCAGAAAAGAGGAGACTGAGAGGAGATATGATAGCCATCTTCAGATATCTCAAGGGCAGCTCTATGGAGCATGGTGCAAGGTTGTTTCTCCTGCTCTGGAGGTTAGAACTGAAACCAATGGCTTCAGGTTGCGAGAAAGGAGATTCCGACTAAGCATTCGGAAAAACTTTCTGACAGTAAGAGCTGTTCAGCAGTGGAACAGACTCCCATGAGAAGTGGTGGACTCTCCATCATTGGAGGTTTTTATGCAGAGGTTGGATGGCCACCTGTCATGGATGCTTTAGCTGAGATTCCTGCATTGCAGGGGGCTGGACTAGATGACCCTCGGGATCCCTTCCAACTCTACAATTCTTTAATTCTATGACATTGGCGCAGGGAATCTGCTGAATGATAGCATCCATATTTTAGTTCTGTTTATTTTACTTTCACCGAAACTTACCCTTTCCATGAATAATGAATGCTCCTTCATATTTATATACTCTTCCACTATTGTGAGATGGTGACATTCTCCTTATGTATTATATACAAATCTCACAGACCCAGGGTGCGTGGGAGGGGAGAATCATTGCATCTTTTTCTATATGAAATATGGCTTTCCAGCTAAGAATTGTATTCCTTTTCAGTGATGTTTCACTCTAGTGCCTCCCTATCTTCCCCCTTCCCTCCGATTCTTACATTTCCTAGTACCATTGTAATTTATGTATCTTTGTGGTTCATAATTCCAACATAAACTCAGCTGGAAAGCCTCTGTGTGTGTGGCAATGAGACAGAAGATGAATTATGCATACGCCAGAGTGCAACATCTGACAAAATAAAGCTGCATGTCTCAGATACAAGTTTAACATGTGCCAATTCATCTAACAAAAGCTGTCACATGCTGGACCAGAGCATAAGTCCACCTTGTCCATTAGCAGCTCCAGAACAGGGGAAGAAAATATTTCTTCAATCCTGGAATAGAAGTGCAGCCTGAGTTTCCTGATTCCCTAAATCCTCTTGATAACGTTTAACCTTTTGAAATCTGTCTTAGAAATGGACTGGACAAGGAAGGAGAAAGCAATGCAACTGTTTTCTCTTTGCAAGCTGAAGAATTTCTGGTTACATTTCTAATAGCACTTTAGAAACAGAGAGATAGCAAACATTACTAATGTCAGGGAATTCTAATGGAAATGGAAAAGGAAGTGGAAATCGCTATATTTCACATGCTCATTGTGCGGTCAGGAATGGAAAACAACCAGGCAAATACGACCGACATTAATTGACGTTGCTGTTTTTAAGTTTGCAGTGTTAAATTGAAGTTACATTCTGCAACTTAGATTAAATAAAGGACAGTGATGTAAAAATTGGGGTTTGGCTTTTGCTGCCCAACTCCCCATGGGACTCTGAGTTCATGATCGGTCAGAGAAGAATGGAGGGAGGCAGGATCCAGTGGAAAGCAAGGCAGATATTTATTTTTCTGTTGCAACAAAGTTCCCTCCCCTCATTTCAAGGAGGGAGAGACCCTGAACAAAAGTGTGCAGGAACCTTAAAAGACTTTAGACGTTGCCCAACCCCCTTAGCCAAAGACCAACCCATGGTTTATACGTTTAGATATGTGTGCATTTGTGAATATTTATTCTATATTTGAAACCTTAAAATTCTTATAACAACAGCAAGATGAATAACACGTGTGTGTTTTGGTAGAAACTGAACTGCAGCAGAAGAGAAACAGGACTGAATGGGACAAATACTAGTCAGAACAGAAATCTCTGCTTTCCTATTTCTCTACCCATTACTCATGTGTAAGGCACAGTGCCAGATTTACATATAAGCTATAGCTTAGGGCCCTACTCTCCTGGGGCCCCCCAAAAAAATTAAAGTGAGAAAAAACTGAATGTACGTTTCCAAAATATAAGATAAATAAAATAAAACAAAACCTACATACAGCAGCAGTTTTTTGTGTTGCGTAGGCTCCTATGATGTAAGTAATGGGCCCTGCCTGCTAGCCTGCTCCCACAATATCACTGGTTTGCTCATTTCTATATATAGGGTGCCTACATTCTGCATGGACTGGTTGCATGGCAATATATAGCATGCAGCTGCAGACTGCAGTGCAGCACAGTTGAATGTAGGTCAAGCTGTTGTACCTGTTATCTAATATTAAAGAGTGTTTGTGGGCTGATGACCAGGCAGCATAGACTAAGGGTATGAGTCTTATGCCTACTGATTGATTTCATGTAATACATAATTTATTTATTTTGATCCCATTATAAAATTACATTATAAAGGGCCCTATTACCTTCAGTAGCTTAGGGCCTCATCAAATGTAAATCCAGCCCTGGTAAGGCACCTGTGGTTTGGAGTTGGACCAGGGTACACTTTGATGGCAGAAAGTGAGGAGGAATTAAAGAATCTCTTAAAGAGGGTGAAAGAAGAGAGCGCAAAATATGTTCTGAAGCTCAACATCAAAAAAACTAAGGTCATGGCCACTGGTCCCATCGCCTCCTGGCAAATAGAAGGGGAAGAAATGGAGGCAGTGAGAGATTTTACTTTCATGGGCTCCATGATCACTGCAGATGGTGACAGCAGTCATGAAATTAAAAGATGCCTGCTTCTTGCGAGAAAAGCAATGAGAAACCTAGACAGCATCTTAAAAAGCAGAGACATCACCTTGCTAACAAAGGTCCATAGAGTTAAAGCTATGGTTTTCCCAGTGGTGATGTATGGAAGTGAGAGCTGGACCATAAAGAAGGCTGATCGCCGAAGAATTGATGCTTTTGAATTCTGGTGCTGGAGGAGACTCTTGAGAGTCCCATGGACTGCAAGAAGATCAAACCTATCCATTCTGAAGGAAATCAGCCCTGAGTGCTCACTGGAAGGACAGATCCTGAAGCTGAGGCTCCAATACTTTGGCCACCTCATGAGAAGAGAAGACTCCCTGGAAAAGTCCCTGATGCTGGGAAAAAAGATTGAGGGCACAAGGAGAAGGGGACGACAGAGGATGAGATGGTTGGACAGTGTTCTCGAAGCTACTAACATGAGCTTGACTAAGTTGCGGGAGGCAGTGGAAGACAGGAGTGCCTGGCATGCTCTGGTCCATGGGGTCACGAAGAGTCAGACACGACTAAACGACTAAACAACAACAACAATACCACTTTAAACAGACATGGCTTCCCCCAAGAATTCTAGGAATTGTAGTTTATTAAAGGCGCCAAGAGTTCCCACCATCCCTAGCTAGCAGAAACAGTGGTCAAGGATGATGGGACTTGTAGTCTGAAAACAGCTGGAGACCCAAGTTTGGGAAACCCTGGTGTGAAACATACTTGAATTTTGTTCTTTCTGAAAAATAGCTCCGGTGAAAAAGTGGCCAAGCCCACCCATATTATTTTTTAAAAATGTATTTAATGTGCTTATATCCCACTTCTACATGCATTGCCCACAGGTCTTCCACTCAAGTTTCTATGCAGACCTACTCCTATTTAGTTTCAGCAGTGCTGCAGCTTTTAAGAACTCCAGACATTTCTCTAGGTTGGGGTGGAGAACCACTTTTGCTCAGTGGAATAGTTCTGAAAGTGGACAACCCTTGTGTGTGCCCATCTGCCAATCCCCTGACATCATAGGACATCAGGCACAGGAATGGTAAAGTCACAGCTGCCAAGGAAATATCAGGAATGCTCTCCTGGTTGCACCTTTGCATCCTTGACTTTACAACAACAACAACACACTTCTTGCACTGCCCTCTGACATCCACACCTTGAGCTGCAAAGGAAACAGTTGGGGGTTCCCTTGCAGACAACCCCACCCAACACGTGGCCATTGGGGGGTGGGGCTAGTGCTTTGATGTGCTTTCCTGGGTGTGGCAAGAAGCACTGCCCCCTTCCGGCTCGAACTCACGAGTCCCTTACACACAAGTAATGCAAGAACTGGGCTAGAGTCAATACACTCTCCTCTCCCCACCCCGATCTCTTTGACCCTTTTGCAAACATATTCCTTTCAAAAATTACCTTTGGTGGATTCATCTTCTATGGGTTGCTTGAATAAAGTGATATCTTTAAAAGTGCAAAGGAATAAAACCACTTTGTCATGCTCATTTCTTATCGGTGCAATTTGCATGTAAAACCAAACAGGTGTTCCTGTAATTAAAAAAAATAAGAGGATATAAAATAAACACACTCACAGCACGGAGCACAATCATAACATAGAGGCATGCTCACATTCATGATTACCGCTTATCCTAGGTGACACTTAAACTAATCAAAGTCTCATTGAACAGAGTGGGAGAATTAAACACTGAAATGCAAAGCTAACATTGCTTAACCATATAACAGACTCATTTTGTGTGGGGATTCAAGGAGCGTCCATGGCCCAATATAATTTTATTTTTGTTTATTAAGGGATATCTGAGATTCCTGCATTGCAGGGGGTTAGACTAGACCCTTGATGTACCTTCCAACTCTGGAATTCTAGTATTTTGGGTCAGGGGAAAAGGCTGTGGGTTTTACACAGCAGCGTTAGCTAGCATGTTGATAGTGTTAGTGGGTGCCTAAGTATCTTGACTTCAGAGACCAGAACAACAATGTATAGTACATTGTAGTGTTTAGCTTTGTCTTATGTCTGAAGACAATAATCACTTTGTTATTCTGAACTGTGTGGGAGAGGAATTTCCCCCTTAATCAGAAACTCTGGAATAAGTTGTTCTGCTGGGAGCAGGAAATCCCTGAAGACTTGATTGGGCTTGCTAAAATGTATAAGACTGAATCAGGTAAGTGCTGGAGATGCAAAGAGGTGGAGGGAACCTTCTTTCATATGTGGTGGACTTGGAAAAGGGTAAACAGAGTATTGGGAAATGATCTATAATGAATTGGGGGGGTGTTTAAATGTACTTTCCCAAAAAACCCCAGAGTCCTTTCTGTTGGGGATAATTCAGATTGAAATTCCCCAGTGCCAAAAAAAGGTTATTTATGTATGCTACTACCGCAGCCTGTGTTTTGTGAGCCCAAAAATGGAAAACGAGCAAGTTCCCAACCAAACAAGAATGGCAACTTAAACTGATGGAATATATGCGGCTTACAGACTTAACATATAGAATAAGAGAACAAGAAGAACATACATTTAGAGAAGATTGGGCAACATTTATGGAATATATGGGAAATAATTGTGTACAGCTGAAAACACTGAGAGCATTAAGATAAATTCAACAGTGTAAATAAGTTTTGATGGATGCAATAATGGAATACTGAATGGTATAGTTTTTGTAAAATATGCAGGGATTTATTATATGTAAAACGAACCATGGAAAGAGAAGAAGGGAAGTCATTGATATCTTAAGGATGTAAAATGGGTATTTTAAATTGTAAAACAGAAAATTTTATAACAATTTATATACAAAAAAGAGAGACTTGTTTGGGCTCCATATAATCTGCTGGTGTGTCACACAAGCAGAGGTGTGGTCAGCTACAGGAAGGGGTGGAGCAAAGCCAGCGAGGGCGTGGCCTGGAAGGCAGGGGCGTGGCCTGGGAAGGGTGTCCCCAGGGCCAGACAGGGAGGTTAGAGGGCCGCATTTGCCTGTTCCTATCAGATCTTGGCCTTTCGAGTTCAGAAACTGCAGAGCCACCCCGTTCCTTCCGAGAAATCCAGCCTGCAGGAAGACCCAGCGGCGCATCTCTGTTTGTTTTTTAAGGTCAGGATCTTGCTATGCAACCAGCTGGAAAGAAAAGAATGACAGGGCTTGAGACTGTGACCAGCGCAGCTGATCCGGACAAGCTGTTCCCTGGGGGGATTTGGCCTAACATGTACAGGAGCACTCAGGTGGGCAGCACAGACAAAAGGGAAGGCAAGCGGAAACGCAAAGCAGAAGAGGTCATCGCAGGGGCCAGAGCATAGCTGTCAACCGTCCCTTATTTGGCAGGAAACTCCCTTATCCCAGCGCCGTGCTGTCTCAGATTGATGATGTCCCTTAAATTTCCTGGGTTTCAAAGGAAGCAGCTCCTCTCCCTCCCTACCTGCCAGCCAGGGAGGAGGGAGGCTCCAACTGTGTTGCTTGACTGCGTTGCTCACCCAATAAGGAGTCTAAGAACGACTGGGGGGTGGAGCTTGCATGCCTTGTGCCGATCAAATCAACCACATTGCCTGGGGACTCGCCTTTGCTCAGCGCTTCCCAGCAGAGAGGTGATGGTGGTTTCCCTTGCTGCATCCCCTTCGCCGGGTTGCTGCACTGTGGGAACCACCGCTTGAGGCTTCGTTTGGCTGCTGGTTGGCCAAAATCCCTTATTTTGGCTGCTGATCCCTTATTTTCGAGGCTGCTGGTCTCTTATTTTCAAATCTGTAAGTTGACAGCTATGGGCCAGAGAAAGGTGCCTCAAGGATTTGTCCGGGTGCCTGGAGTGACAATCTAAATGGTAAAGGGCAGAGGGACACAGCTGCCATACTCTCCAACATTTCTCCGATGAAAATAGGGACATCCTATTCCATTATTACTATTATTATTATTATTATTATTATTATTATTATTATTATTCCAGCCATCTGACTGGGTTGGCCCAGCCACTCTGGGCCACTTCCAACATATATAGTTTTTTAACATTTTTAAAAAACAGGGCTGCAAGGTACTGAAATTCCCAGGGAGCGGAAAAGGCTATTTATGTATGTGACCACAGCTGTGCGGATGTTATTGGCCCAGAGATGGAAGGAAGATAAAGTCCCTACCAGGGAAGAATGGCAAATCAAGTTGATGGACTATGCCAAAATGGCAAAACTGACTGGAAAGCTCAGGAACCAGGAAGACCAAAACTTCAATAAGAAATGGGAAAACATTATAATTTACATTAAAGACCACTGTAAGCAGTTGAAAACATGAGCAGGACTGCAGTAACACTTGTAATGCAATGAGAACTATGGACATAATGGAGTTTATAAAGAACTTGGATTATTGAAAAAAGATGCAGTAGAAAAGGTTTAACAACAGAACCCATTGAGGGGAAGGTCGGAAGTCTAGAGATTCGGAGGAATGTTTTAACTGTGGATATGTTGTCATGTGATTATAATTTTAAATAAGTAAAACCAAATAATTTCAAAACAAAACAGGGCTGCCTTCAGATGTCTTCTAAAGGTTGTGTAGGTACTTATCTCCTTGGCTCAGGGGTCGCATAACCCCAACATTTCTCCCATGAAAATAGGGACGTCCTAAGGGACGCGGGTGGCGCTGTGGGTTAAACCACAGAGCCTAGGACTTGCAGATCAGAAGGTCGGCGGTTCGAATCCCCGCGACGGGGTGAGCTCCCGTTGCTCAGTCCCTGCTCCTGCCAACCTAGCAGTTTGAAAGCACGTCAAAGTGCAAGTAGATAAATAGGTACCGCTCCGGCAGGAAGGTAAACGGCGTTTCCGTGCACTGCTCTGGTTCGCCAGAAGCGGCTTAGTCATGCTGGCCACATGACCCGGAAGCTGTACGCCGGCTCCCTTGGCCAGTAAAGCAAGATTAGCACTGCAACCCCAGAGTCGGTCATGACTGGACCTAATGGTCAGGGGTCCCTTTACCTTTAAGGAAAAGCAGGACATTCCAGGAACAAATCAGAAACCAGGATGGCTTCTGAAAATCCGGGACTGTCCCTGGAAAATAGGGACACTGGGAGGGTCTGATCTGCTCTGTGTATAGAAAGGCTCAGATTCGATCCCTGCCATCTCCAGTTTGGAAATGAGTCATGTGATGGGTGAGAGGAAACATCTGCCAGTCAGAGAAGGCAAGGCTGGACCAGACTGCAAAATGCTTTGACCTCATGTAAGGCAACTTCTTATGGACTCGGGTGTCACTGTGGGTTAAACCACAGAGCCTAGGACTTGCCGATCAGAAGGTTGGCGGTTTGAATCCCCACGACAGGGTGAGCTCCCATCGCTCGGTCCCAGCTCCTACCAACCTAGCAGTTCAAAAACACATCAAGTAGATAAATAAGTACCGCTCCAGCGGGAAGTTAAACAGCATTTCCCTGCACCGCAACCCCAGAGTCGGTCACGACTGGACCTAATGGTCAGGGGTCCCTTTACCTTTACCTTTACCTTTACCTTTACCTTTAAGGCAACTTCTTATGATCTGGGCAGCCTTCAAAGCACAAGCTTAGTGCTCATATCCAGACTATTTGCAAATAAGGTTGCAATTGGTTAATTCTGTTTTTAATATCAGCCAGGAATGGTGTCAATGGCTTTAAAACTATTGGGAGCCAGTGTCGTGTCATAGTTAGAGTGTTGGACTCTGGGAGAGCAGGGTTCGAATCCCCACTCAGCCATGAATGAGCTCGGGCCAGTCACCATATACACCAGTTTGGGATCCTTGGAAGAAAAAAAGTGACATATAAATGTAATAAGTAAATAATAATAAATACATGGATATTTTTTTCCTGCAAGCAAATAGTGCAGAAATGAGAACTAAACTTTCACCTGGTTCCACTATAGTTTGAGAAGCTGCTTGCACATTCTGTAGATGCTCAAGTATAATGCGGCACTAAACAGTTAGGGGAAAGACATAAAAATGGAGCGAAGCGCCATGTGAATGCAGTCTAAGAGTTTTTCTCCCTCTTTCATAAGAACACAAGAAGAGTCAGTAAAGGAAATTCCTTCTGGCTCAATTTGGAAATGGGTCAGCAATTGCAAGCGTTTGAGCATTCCTTTACCTCTGTGTGAGTGCAAATCAATGTCCAGGTTTTGGACTAAAAACAGATTTAAGTCAAAAAAGACTCCTTTGCCCAGGTGCAGAATCCCCTTTTTCATTCTGAGCAAGCGAAAAGATATTTCAGAGGTTCAGTGCCGTGTTTGCAATTCCTCCAAGCAGTATGAGTGAAACAAATTCACATTTCGTGCCAGGTAAATAGCAGGTTTCAGTGACACCGCTAATTTCTAGCATCCCATAGTCCTCATACTCCATATAAGTCCCCCTTTGCCAACTGAGTGCTCTGCAGACATTTTTTAAGCACTGGAGCCCAAAACACCTAAAAGTTGGTATGTGGTTTCAAAGGCAACAAGCTGTTAATGTAACCATGCGGCAAGGCAGTGTGGTGCAATGGTTAGAGTGCCAGACTAGGACCTAGTTACAGGTAGGTAGCTGTGTTGGTCTGCCATAGTTGAAACAAAATAAAAAAAGTCCTTCCAGTAGCACCTTAGAGACCAACTAAGTTAGTTATTGGTATGAGCTTTTGTGTGTATGCACACTTCTTCAGATACACTGAAACAGAAGTCACCAGACCCTTATATATAGTGGGAGGGTGGGGAGGGGTATTACTCAGAAGGGTGGTGGGAGATGGGTGATTGGCTGATAGGTGTGGTAAACCTGTTGACGACTGTTAACGACTGCAATTGGTCTTACAGGAAAAAGCAAGGGGTGAGATGGCTAAAAATAGCTTTGTCGTGTATAATGAGATAGGAATCCAATGTCTCTATTCAGACCAGGTCTCTCCATGGTTTTAAGTTTGGTAATAAGTTGCAATTCAGCAACTTCTCTTTCCAGTTTATTTCTGAAATTCTTTTGTAATAAGACTGCTACTTTGAGATCTTGTATAGAATGTCCTGGGAGATTGAAGTGTTTTCCTACTGATTTCTCTGTCTTGTGATTCCTGGTGTCAGATTTATGGCCATTTATTCTTTGTGGCGCTGTGGGTTAAACCACAGAGCCTAGGACTTGCTGATCAGAAGGTTGGCAGTTCAAATCCCCGCGACGGGGTGAGCTCCCGTTCTTACTCCTGCCAACATAGCAATTCGAAAGCACGTCAAAGTGCAAGTAGATAAATAGGTACCGCTCCGGTGGGAAGGTAAACTGTGTTTCCATGCGCTGCTCTGGTTCGCCAGAAGCGGCTTTGTCATGCTGGCCACATGACCTGGAAGCTGTACGCTGGCTCCCTCGGCCAGTAAAGCGAGATGAGCGCCACAACCCCAGAGTCGGCCATGACTGGACCTAAGTGTCAGGGGTCCCTTTACCTTTATGCTTTGACTAGGACCTGGGAGACTGGGGTTGAAATCCCCACCCAGTCATGGATCTTGGGCCAGTCACTGCCTCCCAGTCTAGCCTATCTGACAGGGTTGTTGTGGGGATTAAACGAGGAGGGGGAGAACCATTCATGTCACTTTGAACTCCTTGGAGAAAAAGGTGGGATACATTAAACAAAAACAAATAAATGATTTCACATTTATACGTACTGTTTTTCTTGTACAAGAGGATTTCAAAGCAGTTCGATTCATAGTTGTCAAACGTCTGTCTGACTTTGTCAATGGTTTTCTTGTCTGTGAGTTCACCATACATAAAACTGGAGAAAGGAAAGGTGGAGAGAGAGAAAGAGTGAGAGAGAGAGAGAGAGAGAGAGAGAGAGAATACACATTTTCATGGGCTTCACAAACAAACAAGCATAACAACACCCTTACAGGCGTATTTATGGTCCAGACTGCAGTGTAATTGCAACCTATGTATGCTTAACTATGATTTACACCTTGTTTTGCTCAACGTTTACAGCTGCAAAATTGTTATGAAGCCCTCTAAAGCAAATAATTGTGGCGGGGTCTGTTGCCGGGGGGAAAGGATTTATATTGCTGCCTTATAGCGTTCAATTTAAGTGACGCTCTGGGTACACTTTCCAGAGTGTGATGCTTTCAAAAAAAGGAGAGAGCGAAAGCTGACAATACATAAAAGATTTATTTTCTGAAATATGCACACAGGTTTCAACTTGGGGAAACGGAGAGTGTCTTGCTGAGCACCAGGGAAGCTGAAACCCTCCACCAAATGCCACATTTTAGGGGAAAGAGCTCGAGAATGATTTCTGACTCGCTCTTGTCTTTCATTCTCGTGGGTTGGCTCTCATTTGACTGCTTCCATGGGTTTTTTTAAGGACAGGTTTGGGGAACCTTTGGTCCTGCAGATGTTGATGAACTACAACTCCCATCAGCCCCTCCCCCCTCACACTGGACTGACAGCAAGGGGGATAAATTCTGCAGGGTGCTGTTCAGCGATTGCAGATCCTGCAAGGTGCTCTCTGCAAACACCTTCTCTGCAAAGGGAGCAGTTTGCAAAGCAGAAATGGCACACACTCTCTCGGTCAGGAGTGGAGAGGAACGAGACACAACATCTCCCTCCCCCACCACCCTATGAAATTAATATAATAATAATTAAACATTTGCCCCACCCGCAAACTAATTCGGAATCAGATCCAAGGTGGGGCAGGTGGACTCTGAGCTGGCTCAAGGTTGTTGATATCCATCTGTCTCGAGAGACTACGATACAATAATCTTTATTGTCATTGTCCCATACAGAACAATGAAATTGAAAAAATCGACATCAGACATTCAAAAACCAACAAGCCTGCTATTCCAGCTATCCCAGCCTGGTTAACCCCCTAAAAACTCTGATACCCCATAATTAAATACAATATATACCCACAGAGACTACCTTACACTGCATTTAAAACCAAAATCGCATTTGGATAAAAACTGTTTCTCAGGCGGCTAGTCCTAGTCTTTATAACCCTGTACCTTCTTCCAGAAGGCATAAGCTGAAAGAGATCATTTCCGGGGTGCGCACTATCCTGCACTATCTCTGCAGCTTTCTTATGGCACCTGGAAGCATAGATTTGATCCAAGGTGGCAAGAGTGCACCCAATTATTCTCTCCGCAGTCTTTACAACCCTGGACAGCATTGTTTCCCCCCTGACCTTACGGAGACTGGTAACTTGCAACTGCTGACACTTTTGTTGCATTAATAACACAACCCTGAGCAGTGTGTAAAGAGGTTGTGGGACTGCCCAGATGACAAGACCCTCCTTTCCCGGCCTGCAACTCCAGATCGGGGTGATGGGAGAGATGAGATGGACTGTGCACAACCACATTTTTCCACCCTCAGAATGCCCCAGATTGACAGCAAGATTTCAAGACCACACAGATCAAATATTTAATAGAGAGTGGAATATTTACAGAGAGTACTTAAAAGAACATTGTGATAATCTAAAGTCTTTGGCAGGCCTGGACTGATTTCTGCATGAAAATAAGAGAACTTTGCAAAATTAACACAACCAAATAACCTAGGAGAGATAAAGTTAGTGCGCAGTCGTAATGTAAATTAGGAATCACAATTTGGGGATTGGAAGTCATGTTGGAATTCTTGACATGTGAGTTCAATCTTTTCTTTTTGTATTATTGAGTGTTGATCTTGGATTGCCTTTTGTTGATGGTTGTGTATTGTATTGTATTGTATTGTATTGTATTGTATTGTATTGTTTTTAAAACCAATAAAGCAAAAAAACAGAATGCACTGGAAGAACATCACATCTGGAGCATTCTGGGAGAGAAAGTAAAGTAAAGGTAAAGGGACCCCTGACCATTAGGTCCAGTCGCGGACGACTCTGGGGTTGTGGCGCTCATCTCGCTTTATTGGCTGAGGGAGCTGGTGTACAGCTTCCGGGTCATGTGGGCAGCATGACTAAGCCGCTTCTGGCAAACCAGAGCAGCACACAGAAACACCGTTTACCTTCCTGCCAGAGCAGTACCTATTTATCTACTTGCACTTTGACGTGCTTTCAAACTGCTAGGTTGGCAGGAGCTGGGACCGAGCAACGGGAACTCACCCCGTCGCGGGGATTCAAACTGCCGACCTTCTGATCGGCAAGTCCTAGACTCTGTGGTTTAACCCACAGCGCCACCCACATCACTGGGAGATAAAGTAGCATCTGGCAGAATCCACTCTCCACCAGGGAGGGATAACCCCACCCAGCTTGAAATTGGATGAATGTGGAACTGATAGAGACAAATGAGAACACTGAAAAGTGGGGAGGGCCAGTTTATTTCCATTAAGAGTCAGTTTCACATGACTTAATTCATAAGTCTACCCCACCCCACTTCTACATCAATATGTGTGCTTTTTATATAACTATTTCAACATCACTAAATAGTTAGCCACAAAATATACCATATTTTTCCGTGTATAAGACTAGGTTTTTTAACCAAAAAAATAGGTTTATAATTGGGGCTCATCCTATACACGGGTAGTGCTGAGGTGGTGTTTTCTTAATTTGGAGTCCCCAAAAATAGGGGGTGTCTTATACATGGGGTGTCTTATACACAGAAAAATACGATAATTTAAAGACATATTTACATCTGTGCTTGACTTCTATTTGCAATTTGTTTTTATAGTCAAGATAATATTTTGGTAGTTTTCTGTTAATTGATTATTTAAATGTAGATCTCAATTGCATTTTTTGTCTTTGATTTTAATTTTTAATGTTTTCTTTTCCTATTTTCTAATGTTCTGTTAGGTTGTAGACAACCAAGCTTTTATTTTTTAAAAAAAGAAGAAGTGAAGTGGTATAGAAATGATGATAATGATTATGATAGTTAATTAAATTGATAATAATAATAATAACAACAACAACAATAATAATAATTTATCTTAATGTACAAATTTCTAAACTTTTTTATCCTAAGATATGTACTTTTAATTCATTTTGGTACTTTTCTTTTAAAAGATGACTCTGAAGTGCAAATCTGAAGAGTAGTTATATTCCTCTCTCTGTTGTGGGCTGGGAGATATGAATTAGGCTGGTGTGGTTAAAAAAAATGTGGTCTGAACAGCCTTTTCCTCCATTTTTACTGAAAAACAGCCTAGCCTTTGCCACCCATTTTCCCCCTTGGCGGATTTGTTTCGGAATGAATGGAAATTGAATGAGGCTCACAGGGGTTCCTTTTCCATTTGTTGCAAAATGAATGCACACCTAATGGGGTGGCGAAGAGGCGGAGGTGGGAGCTTTCGGGCATCGGCCTTTTATGACACAACAAACAGGAAGCTCAAAAGCACAGCAGGATTCGGCCCCCACCCGCCCTGACCCAAGAAAATCAATCCAAGGCGACTTACCTGCAGGTACTACTTTTCTGCATGACGTCGGCTCGGTGGTAACCAGAGAGTTTACAAAATCCGTCATTACTATAAACTACAGGCCAGTCCACGATTTGTGCATTGCCCAGTAAGAAACTTGATTCTAAAATGAAAGAAAGAAGGGGGGGAAGAGGAATAAGTACTGTACTCCCCCAAACCATCCAAGCTACTGTTGTTAGTACTCAACATGTAGGATCGTCAAAACATAGCAAGGTAAGGACAACTGATCAATCAATTCAATTCAATTTCCATCTCAACCTTCCTCCTGAACTAGCCCAAGGCAGGCTCATCCATAAGAAAACATTTTTTTAAAAAAATAAAGTATTCTAGAAACAGTGATCTCAGGGTTTCCAGGGTCTTTCAGGCACTGAGACCATATAACACCGGTCTTGAAAGACCTACATTGGCTCCCAGTACATTTCCGAGCACAATTCAAAGTGTTGGTGCCGACCTTGAAAGCCCTCAACGGCCTCAGTCCAGTATGTCAGATGGAGCGTCTCCACCCCCATCGTTCTACCCTGACACTAAGGTCCAGCGCTGAGGGCCTTCTGGTGGTTCCCTCACTGCGAGAAGCCAAGTTACAGGGAACCAGGCAGAGGGCCTTCTCGGTAGTGGCGCCCACCCTGTGGAACGCCTTCCCACCAGATGTCAAAGAGAATAACAACTACCAGACTTTTGGACGACATCTGAAGGCAGCCCTGTTTAGGGAAGCTTTTAATGTTTGATGTATTACAGTATTTTAAATTTTTTTTGGAAGCTGCCCAGAGTGGCTGGGGAAGCCCAGCCAGGTGGGTGGGGTATAAATAATAAATTATTATTATTATTATTATTATTATTATTAAACATCTGGGAAAGGAGGAATATTTTTATATTTCTCCTCAAGTTGCTCCAGAAGAACGTCGTGGCCAATGGTCTCAAAAGCCAGGGAGAACCAACAAGCCCACGCTCCCCCAACGCTCTGTTTTAACTAGAATTATTTTGAACGCTCGTTTGATTGTTTTGTAGGCTGCCTCAGGACATACACACCTGGGGGAGCAGCTTGAAAGTGGAAGGGATGAATAAAACAAAACAAAATTAAGATAACGGTGTATGTTCAGGAGCGAGGGGAAATCCAAATAGGGGGGATCTGTGGCTGCAAAGTGGCCGTTCTTTTGGCTAATACATCGGGCCTGCTTTAGCTTTTCGAAAGATACATCAGGATGAAAAATGAGTCCATGCAAAATTAGGCAGTGAGCTTCTCTAGGCACACACAGTTTTTATATTCCATAAGTGATCCGTCTTCCCTCTAGTGCCATGGCTGTTTCCCCCAGGTGTGCGTATTTTGGCTCCAACACAACCATCCAAGGATTCTCACTAGATGCTGGAACAACTTGACGATTTTGTGGGGGGAGTGTCTCTCCTTTCTGCGAGGCATCACACAGACTTCTTCTGAGGCAGCTTCACAAGGCTTCACACCTGCCAGGTGTTTAGGACTACAACTCCCATCATCCCTCTTCATTGGTTATGCTGCCCGGCACTGATGGGAGTTGTAGCCCAAAGCACAGGAGTCTTTCCCAGCCCAACCTGGAGACAGTGGGGGGAAAACCCTCTCCGGTACCCGGGACGGGGCAGCCCGTACGGAGTGCGCATTTGTGGCATCCCGCACATGCGCACTCCGTACGGAATGCAGCACATGCACACTCTGTACAGGCTGCCACTTGCGATCGGCACCCTGTAAGGACTGTGCATGTGCAGCGACCATACGGGATGCCACACATGCACACTCCGTACGGGATGCCGCACATGCACAGTCCATACAGGATGTCGCACATGCACACTCCGTACGGGATGCCGCACATGCGCAGTCCATAAGGGATGCTGCACATGCACAGTCCATAAGGGATGCCGCACATGCACACTCCGTACGGGATACCGCACATGCGCAGTCCATAAGGGATGCTGCATATGCACACTCCGTATGGGATGCCACACATGTGTAGTCCATACAGGATACCACACGTGCGCAGTCCATACAGGATGCCGCACATGCACACTCCGTACAGGATGCTGCACATGCACACTCCATATGGACTGCGCATGTGCGGCATCCCGTACGGAGTGTGCATGCCTGACAGCCCGTACAGTCACCGTGTGAGAGGCGGCCCGTATGGAGTGTGCACGCACAGCATCCTGTACAGTCGCCCGTATGGATGCCACGCAAGCAGTGCCCATATGGACTGTACATGCCTTAGGCCACTCTACAGCTGGGGGGAGGCAGGGGCCATCTTGTCACACACACCCCAGAGTGGCACCTGGGGTGGACTGCCCCCTCCGACCTCACTTCGTATGCCCCTGCCTGGAGATCCCTGGGATTGAACCTGCTTTTCCAGCAAAGCATGGCAGCTCCCCTTGGCACAACTGTCAATTGTGAGGACAGCTCCAATTGGGGCTGGAGGGCAGAAGAGGCCACACAGCCAGCAGATTTCACCTGCCACACACTATAAGCTCAGATACTTTCAAAGAAAGTTAAGTTCCTCTTTAAATAGAAACTTCATCCAGCTTCTCCCAAATGGCACGTGTTGTCATCCTTTTTCTGGGCTATACTGCTTCAGACTGAATGTATATATCCTGCACAGAGAAAAGTAGTTCATCAGGGGAAAAGCCAGACCAGAGCACATCTCATTTGACAGCTAGTTTTCTATGTACAGTCACAAGAGAGAAAATCAGAGGGAACAACAGAATGAAAAGGTCAGGTTCTTTCTTTTGAACATGACTAAGGCTCTCTCAATTTCCTCACAAAGCCTGTCTTTCATCAGTGACTAAGCGGAAAGCCAATCTCTGTTGTGAGCAGACTAGTATTACTATGATGGTGATGATGATGATTAAAAGTATCACCCACCCTAAGGTCCCATAACATTGAAAGGCAATACTAAAAACAGTTCAGATGGAAATATAGCAAGGAAAACATTTCTTTGCTAGCTTGAGAAAGTCTCTTGTGCATGCAGGAACCTCTATCTGCCTCAACCATGTGCAGAGAAGCAGCGCTTAGCTGGCTCCAGATTGTGGACTTTGGCTCTGACGCAGTTCCTTCCCCACACACCCTCCAGAGAAGAAAGCGAGGCCTTCTTCTCCAACTACCATTTCTGTGCAGCCTCCAGGCTGTCAAAATATTGTCAGCCATTCACTGCCAGCAACTGAGAACTGGAAACGGACTGAAATTCCTGCCTGTCAAAATAACTTTTCCTGAGATCCTCTTGGAAGCTCTCAGTTTGAAAATAAAACAGAAACAGCACAACCACATCTGTGCCATCTATTAAATCTGCCCGTTCAAGTGGAAACACTGCTTTTTTAGGTGGGGGTAGGTTTCAGTATGTTTTATGGAATAACCGCATGCCCAACATTGAACTCAGGCTAGCCAGGAAGCAGGGAGAAGGTCAATGAGTTGTTCTTCAAGTGTACAATTGCCTCCACTCTACGATTCACTGGCAATATTGCCCAGTGATTCTACTTCACAAGTGTTTTCTAAATCCTGCTGGCCGCTGGAGGCAACGTCAGACAGGGTGACCCCTGGTGCCTGGCACTGGCGTTGCAGGCTATCGTTTCGTAAGCAGGAATTTTGTCACGACATCCCTGGACTCAGGAGGCAGCCTGTTTTTACAATTGTAAAACACGATTCTAAGTGGGTCAGGTGGATCTGCAAGCCTGCAAGTATGGATTGCAGAGAGAGTGGCAGAGAGGGCACTTAAAGGGTTTTAGAGGGTGATCCACACTTTAGGCGATTTAACCCCTGTGTACGCGGGTGGCGCTGTGGTCGAAACCACAGAGCCTAGGACTTGCCAATCAGAGGGTCGGCAGTTCGAATCCCCGCAACGGGGTGAGCTCCCGTTGCTCAGTCCCAGCTCCTGCCAACCTAGCAGTTCAAAAGCACGTCAAAGTGCAAGTAGATAAATAGGTACCGCTCCAGCAGGAAGGTAAACGGCGTTTCCGTGTGCTGCTCTGGTTCGCCAGAGGAGGCTTAGTCATGCTGGCCACTTGACCTGGAAGCTGTACGCCGGCTCCCTCGGCCAATAAAGTGAGATGAGCACCGCAACCCCAGAGTCGTCTGCAACTGGACCTAACGGTCAGGGGGTCCCTTTACCTTTACCTAGGAAGTGGGGTGGTGCCTATACTTTTCTTCCTAAGAATGAACAGCACCTACTCACCCAAATGAAGGCAAGGAGATGAGCAGGGCAAGAGGTACAGTATACAGGTAATTGCCGTAAGAACAGCATGGCACCATCCCTTTCATTAAAAGCAGTCAGTTCCCAAAAGTACTGGCGGAAAGACAGCAAGGAGGGAGCCAGTCCAGCTTCTCCAGGGAGGGAGTTCCAAAGTCTGGGAACAGCCACCGACAAGGTCCTCTCCCGCGTCCCCACCAAGCCTGCCTGCGAGGGTGGCAGGACCGAGAGAAGGGCCTCCCCTGAAAATCTGAGAACCCAGGCAAGTTTGTATGAGGGTAAAGGACTTCCAGGGTGGTGCCATCGGCAATGGCGGACTCCCTCTGAACTGGAGGGACCAGCTCCGCGCGAAACGGGTCTTTTCCGCTACGGCGAAGCGGGGACCCTTCTAGAAATCACAGGCGGATGAAGCCTGTGACCGTGGGACTCGGCGGGCACCCTTAGCGCCCCACCCCCACCCCGCAAAGGAACCCACTAACGGGCTCCGAAGCGAAGAGGGGGAAGTGGCGCGGTGCTGTGAGTCAATTGCTTTTTCCGTGGAGCGAAGCCGCACAGCTGTTGCTGGAGAGCGCTGCCTTTTTCCTGGGACAATTTGGCATCTAAAATAATCACCCGTGAGTACTTAAACATTGAACAATTGGACTTTAAATAAGAACTGATGAGCAGAAAGGAATTGGACTTAAAAATTCACTTCAATTTGGTACTGAAACGGGAAGGTCTAAACAGGAAGTCAGCCTTCCGTTTCTTTGTAGTCAGAGTAAAGCAAAGACAACATAAACTAGAGCTTAGAAAATTACTTTCAAAGGATTGGCTTTCATCATTTAAAATTGTTGAACCCCCCTTCGGTAGCAGGAGAAGAAGGGGGACCTTTTTTGGACTGTTTAAACCTGCAGAAGTGAGTCTAAAGCAAAGTAACTTTCCATCATCCTGATCCTGGAGCGGGGTGTCAGAATTGACGTTTGAAGCTCATTGACCAGAGACAAATGTTTTTGACAGATAGCTAAAAAAAGAGTAACATTGTGATTTCATTGTTTCCTTTCGCATTTTAAAGGAACAAATATTGACAAAATATCTTAAAAATTGTCCTTAAAAGAAAGAACAACCAGAAGCTTTCCCCCTAGAGGGGGACTGTGAAACTGTAACTAATTCTAGGGAGCTTGCAGCTGCCACAGATTACAACCGTGGGAAAGGACTTGTGACCTTGCAGGACAATGCTTTCAGAAGCTCTGTTGTGTGCTCTTTGTAAAATAAATGCCCTATTGGATCAGTTAAGTCAGAAGATGGATTTGATGACTAATGCGCTCAGAACTTTTGAACAGGTAGTGGGAAACTATATGGAGCCCACCCAGGAACTAAAACAGGAGTGTGCCATGACAGAACAGATGAGAGAAGAGGATGCTGCTGAATCTTGGGCGCCAGAAAGGGAGGGATTTTCGGCCCTGCAGGAATATGAGTCTTTGGATTTGACAAATGAACTTGGAAAAAACCAGATTTGGAAAGATAAAGTTTGGTTTGGTCTGGAAATGGGGGGTTGGACTGACCCCCCCATGCAGGGATGTTTGGACTTTCCGAGTCTGGCAATGGGCCATCAGATGTTTGGAGCTGTGGGGGCTCTCAAATTTGGAGGGAATCTGAAACATGTCTCCAAATACCACATGGAGTTTAGTCTGGACTATGGAAAAGGGGCTGATTTGTTGAAAAGGGTCAAAAACATTATCAAGCTGGAGTTCCCACGAGTGAAAGGAAAATATGAAGAAGAGCTGCGGAAGGGACATGGAAGAGACTTGAGGGCCTCGGATATAAGATCACCAGGTTAATGTGCTAGATCAGTGGGATAAAAAGGACTGACAAAACCCGGGACCAGGGTCTTTCAGATAGCTTGAACCTTTCAGATAGCTTGAACCTAAGGCATTGTGCGAAAAGTAAGAAGAACCTTGCTGGTAGAGTCAAAGGCCCATCTAGTCCAGCCTCATGTTCTCACAGTGGCCAACCAAGCACCTACGGGAAGCTCACACAAAGGTCCTAGCCTCAGCTATTTTTTCAAAGAGGGGTCTCAGGCAAGCATTAGTTGTGGGCCCATCTAGGGTGTCTGGGTGCTGGCAACTGTCCAAGGGTTCTGTGTGCTAGCTCCAGGTCTGTTCTTTCTGAAAAGAGAGTGCCTGCTTATCTCAGGCTCCAGCAAATGTCATCTGTTGTTCTTGATGGTCATTACTGATCTGAGGAACTGCAGTATGGTAGAGAGCAGGGTTGGAGGAAATTGTTTCTACAGTGGTACCTTGGGAACTTTGCTTCAGGATGAGAACAGAAATTGTGTGGCAGCGGCACAGCAGCAGCGGGAGGCCCCATTAGCTAAAGTGGTACCTCAGGTTAAGAACAGTTTCAGGTTAAGAACAGACCTCCAAAACAAATTAAGTTCTTAACCCGAGGTACCACTGTATTACCAGCAGGGTTGCCCCATTTATAAGGAAGCTAGATATTAGTGGGGCTCCCCTTCAGTTCTCACTTGGCTTTAATTTTTGGTCTAATCGGCAAAAAAAGAGAGAGAGTTTTGATGGCAAATGAAGACAGGTACATAATCCAAAAAGTTGTTTCACTTGCAAAGGCAGCGGAGGAATCATGACAGTGTTCCATGCCTAGTCATGCTGCAAATTGTCTTAAGGCTGTTTAATTGCATAATTATTCATTCGTCTGTCTTACTGTATACATGTTTTGAAACTTCTTTCTCATATATCTTCTTGCTTTGTCTTCCTGGTTTTTGTAATTCTTTGCATTGTTATGATCGAAACAATCAACTCTGAACTTAACAGGGCTGCTCAGAATTTGCAGTTGTAAGCAGTGGTCAAAATACGACGTGAGATCCAAAACACAAAAGAGGATCATGATCATGAAAGAGGACTAGATAAAAGGCCCAGAAAGATTTTAAAAGAGTGTGTCGTGGAGTATCGTAGAGATTAAGGCTGAAATCCTGAGCCCGAGATCAGGGCAGTCTTGGAGGAAACTGATTTTCTAGATCCATTTTAATTGGAGTTTAGGCCTGGTTTTGGCACAGAAATGGCTTTGGTCACCCTGTATGGTGACCTCTGTCGGGGGAGAGACAGGGGAAATGCGTCCCTGTTAATTCTCCTTGACCTCTCTGTGGCTTTCGATACCATCAACCGTGATATCCTTCTGGAGTTAGGGATGGGTGGCTCCGCTTTGCGGTGGTTCCAGCCCTACTTAGATGGCTCATTCCAGAGGGTGATGCTTGGGGAGTCAACCGATGGCAGCTTACTGATTCCCGCCTTAACCCCAGAATAAGACAGCCAATGGCAGCTAAAGACCCTGAGAGAAGCTCAGCCAATGGCAGCTAGACTTCCAGTAAAGCTCAGCCAACCAAGTTTAGAGACCCTGAGAGCTCAGTCGTGACACCTTCAAAATGCTCAGAGGACCTCAGCCAATGGCATCTTACAGTGAGAGCCTATATCTACTCAGAAGTAAGTCCTGTTGAATTCAATAGGGCATACTCTCAGGCAAGCAAGGTGAGGATTGCAGCCTTGGAAGAGACCATTCTCCCTGCCAGTGGTTAGTGAGCTACCAGCTTCTGCTGCCCGAGAAGCGGGGATGCAGTGCTCTTAGCAAAAGGTGTCAGGCAAGGTGATAGCAGTATCGCCAGGGCTTCTGGTCCAGTGAAATGCGGGCAGAGGTGTAGGAAGGGGGTGCAGTGGGGTGGATTGCCCCGGATGTCATCACTGAGTGGGTGACATTCGGGGCACTGCCCGCCCCGCAACTCCCAAGCCTACACCAAGCCATTGGGGGAAGGGAGGGAGCTGCGCCGCTTTGCCAGTGGCCTCCCCCCCTTCCCCCTTCGTTTTGACAGCTCGGGGGAGGCTTGGGAGTCGGGGGCGGGTGGCCTGCCATTGCCCTGCACTCCTGGGCTGCTGGAGGAGGCAGTAATACCCAAGGCAACACGATGACCAAATACAATGATACGATATCAATATACACTCTTTATATAATCATATATAATCATTATAGGGTGGTGCGTCCTAATGGTTAAACCACAGAGCCTAGGACTTGCCGATCAGAAGGTCGGCGGTTCGAATCCCTGCGATGGGGTGAGCTCTCACTGCTCTGTCCCTGCTCCTGCCAACCTAGCAGTTTGAAAGCACGTCAAAGTGCAAGTAGATAAATAGGTACCACTCTGGCGGGAAGGTAAACGACATTTCCGTGCGCTGCTCTTGTTCGGCAGAAGCGGGTTAGTCATGCTGGCCACATGACCCGGAAGCTGTCTGTGGACAAATGCTGTCTCCCTCGGCCTATAGAGCGAGATGAGCATAGCAACCCCAGAGTCGTCCGCAACTGGACCTAACAGTCAGGGGTACCTTTACCTTTACCTTTATATAATCATTAAGAGTGCATATTTTGTGACTTTCAGAGATTCATAAGTTTTCTGTTTATGTGATTTCATATATTTCATATTATATAAAGAGTGTATATTGATATCGTATCATTGTATGTGGTCATCGTGTTGCCTGACTATTGTTTGAAACAGAGGGGTTAAATTGTTTGGTTACTTGCTGGAGGAAGCAGGCAGACAGGCAGGCAGAGGACGGGAAGGAGGCAGGCGAGCAAACAAGCAGAGAAGGGAGAGAAGCAGACAAGCAAAAGCTCCCTCAACTCAGGACTCAAACCCTGGAAGACACAGGAGGAGAGGTGGGGTGTGAGAACAAAGGTAGGGGGGAGTTTTAAGTGCTTATGCTCACAATGTTAAGTAAATAAACCAGAAAATAACACTTGCAATTGTAAGTATCTTATTTTTCCTTCTTTTAATAATTTCAATTAGAGGGGGGGCTGCCAAAAAATTCTGCACCGGGTACCACCTGACACTGCTACGCCTCTGATGCGGGTGCCTATTGGATGGGCAGCAGAGTCTGGAAGGGACCAGCAGTGTCACAATCTGAACCTGTTCCAGGCACTGCTATCCACTCTGCAGCTGCATCCTTGCATGTTGCTGACATAGCTGTCGAGGTTTATCTGCTACTTCCTCCCGATTCCATTCCAGAAAGGCTGCTGGCACTCTCTCCCTTGTTCAGTGGTGCTCAATGGTGGGAGCTGATATTTAGCCAGTGAACCCCTCCCATGAACTTCTGCTGTCGCCCTTCGCCTTGCCCTTCTGGGACACCAGGATGCATCAACCCATCACTACCCAGAGACTTCATCACTGCCACCAAAGCATGCATTGCAATAGAGATTACACCACTGCATGGCACTGATGGGATTTATTCTGGTTTAAAAGTGTCCTAAGATTGAAAAGGGACGCAGGTGGTGCTGTGGGTTAAACCAGTCTTGCCAATCAGAAGGTCAGCGGTTTGAATCCCCACGACGGGGTGAGCTCCCGTTGCTCGGTGCATGCTCCTGCCAACCTAGCAGTTCGAAAGCACATCAAAGTGCAAGTAGATAAATAGGTACTGCTCTGGCGGGAAGGTAAACGGCGTTTCCGTGCGCTGCTCTGGTTCGCCAGAAGCGGCTTAGTCATGCTGGCCACATGACCCGGAAGCTGTTCTCCGGCTCCCTCGGCCAATAAAGCAAGCCCTAATGGTCAGGGGTCCCTTTACCTTTAAGATTGAAAACATTGGTTGCCCAGACAGAATCGGGGTGTTCATATATTAGGCTCGACGAGTGTGCAGTCTGTGTGCACAAATAGCTGAGCTGTACTAATTGGCACCACACACATGTATAGAGAGAGAGAGATGGCCTCTACCTGTGTTCAGCACAATGTGGAACAAACCTAATGTAAAAAAAAGGACTCTGGGCTGTATTTATTATTATTATTATTCCAAAATTACCTACCAAGGTAACCTAAATTCTACACTGAGAATTTACCAGTAACCTTAAAACAGAATACAAATATGTGCTTCTTAACACAATTTGTCCTGTTTCTGCTCATTTTGGACAAAGTGCTATGCACAGAGCACTGAGCAGGGTGAAAGTGGAAAGGGGAGCAGAAATGACTGAGGTCTGCAGACGTATTTATTTATTAAATCTGTATACCACCCTTCATCCATGGATTGCAGGGTGGTTCAGAACATCAAAATGCAAGATAAAAACCACAAGATATATAATAAAAGCAAAAACCAGTGGCCTGCCTCCCACAAACACATTTAAAAGGAGATATGGGATGTTGTCCATCCCATAGAAGAGTTTGGATTTGATATCCCGCTTTATCACTACTTGAAGGAGTCTCAAAGCGGCTAACAATCTCCTTTCCCTTCCTCCCCCACAACAAACACTCTGTGAGGTGAGTGGGGCTGAGAGACTTCAGAGAAGTGTGACTGGCCCAAGGTCACCCAGCAGCTGCATGTGGAGGAGCGGAGACGCGAACCCGGTTCACCAGATTACGAGTCTATCGCTCTTAACCACTACACCACACTGGCTCTCATAAGGACATAAGAGCCAGTGGCCCATCTCGTCCAATATCATCTTCTCCAGTGGCCAACTAGATGCCTCAATGGGAAACCTACACAAAAGTCTTCTCCTCTCCTGTGGTTCCAAGCAATTGGCTTTCAGCACCATTGCTGCCTCCAACTGCAAAGGAGGAACATAGACAATGTGGCTAATCGAAAGTGGAAATGGGAATTGCAATTACCGGTGTCCCCTTATTCCTCCCATGTCTGGGATGGAAATCAATCCGGCAAATAAAATTGGAATTCGCTGTTGCTGTTCCTTTCGGCCAACAGCCGATATGTAATGGAAAAACATTCTCTCCATTGGCATTTGAGCTTCCTTTGCACTGAAATGAATGGGATGGAATGATGTAAGGGCAGTGCGATTTTCATAATTTGCATAATTAATTATGAATACTCAAACATGGGGGGAAATGCCCAGCATCACTGAGAAGAACTATGGGGCTTTGTAGGAAAGGAGAGTATTTTCATGCCGGTTATCTTTCATAAATTTTGTGTGTTCCCCCCATTTATTTGCATTTCTTCCTCTCAAATGGGCACAAGACTTTTTATTTCACTACCGCAGTCCACCCAAAGGTAACCCTGAATGTCTAGTATTGCACCCACATGCCCTCTCTGTCATCTAATGAATTCAGCCTAGTACCTCGTGTGCTAAAGATCTGGGATCATAATGAAGTAGTTGCGTCAAGGTTCTGTGAAAGAGAACAAATTAACTGAAGAAACCAAGGCCTGCGGAAGCAGAATGAACACACAGGTGCTTTGGTGCAAATTCCCCGTTTGAGAAAAGGGGGAGACTGCGGCCATGAAGAAAAAGGGGGATGAGGAAATGGCCAGAATGAAAGAGTGAATGCAATTATCCTGGGAGGTTTTGCAAACTACAGGTGTTACAGGGGGGTTTTCTTCTTCTTTGCACCATTTCCAGCACTTGTAATAAAAACAGGGGGGAAAAACACCCCAATTCTCTGGTGCATCCTGAAAAGTGGCCCCATCTGACTATCATCCCGAAAACAACGTCAGAATTACAGTCGTTCACATCTTCCAACTGATCTGTCCTTTCTCTTTGCCCTGTTCCGTAATGCAGCAATGAGGAGAGACTTGGAATAAGTAAGGGGAAAGTAGGTCAAGCACAGACTGACTACAGCATGACAAGGTAAACTCAGATTTTATTACAACTGGACCCACTGTCCTCCCCCACTGACTATTCTTATGGGGCTCCCTACCACAAAGGCAACACCCTTTTAGCTGTCCGCTTATGGGGCTCCCATACCATAAGGGCTCCAATCTATTTGATTTCCACACATTTTCTTCCATCCCACTACCTGCATCCCTTTCTGCTCCCAGCCTCTGCACTGAAAGATATTCTCAGCCAAAGCAACTTTCTGCCTATTTTCACAGCGGTGGCAGTCAAAACGGAACGACTGACTGTCTCCCTCCGCAGTTAGAAAGTTTGTGAACAGAAGAAGAGCCACCAACGAAAGGAGAGTGGCAGACGAAATTAATGGACTATGCAGAATTGGATAAGATGACAGGAAGGATTCGAAACCTGCGGGACCAGAGTTTCTCAGAGGACTGGAGTAAATATTTGGATTATTTGAAAAGCAATTGTAATAAACAGATCACGCTAGTAGGACTGCAAGAAGTTTTGTAAGGAGGACTGTGCGAAATATTGCAGAGAAAATTATGAAGAGAATTGTTAGTTAAGGATTATGAAAAGCAATAATGAAATGTAGATTAAGTGATAAAGATTGAAAAATCTTTAGATGTGGTTGATGGAAGTCCAAAACACTGAATAAGATAAGAAAATATGCTATATGATTTTTGGAAATTATATGTAAAAATCAATAAAAATATAATTATGAAAAGAAAGTAAGTTTGTGAATCTTCCACTGACATCAGAGCGGGTGAACCAATAGCTACAGGGATATCCCTGTCTGGCAGAACAGCCCAACTCTGCAGCTCTTGGGAAGAGGGGGGGTTAATGGTGCCCCTCCATCCAGCCTGGCTGGCCTTGGCCAATGTAGAGAACCCCTTCCTCTCTGCTGAAGACACTGACAGGAAGAGACTGAACCTAGCAAAGCTCAGGGGTAGAATGCTAAGAGAGAGTGCAGTTTGCTTCTACACGGTGGCCAGGTTGTTCAACATTGTTAGTGCACATCAACCCCCTTAGAATCCACATGCATCCACAGTTTCAACAGCTAACCAGATGTGTGACTTGATTCATCCAAACTTCCATCCAACTGCATGGGAATTTGTGCACATATACTATATATATACGGGACGCAGGTGGCGCTGTGGGTTAAACCGCAGAGCCTAGGGCTTGCTGATCAGAAGGTTGGCGGTTCGAATCCCCGCGACGAGGTGAGCTCTCATTGCTCGGTCCCTGCTCCTGCCAACCTAGCAGTTTGAAAGCATGTCAAAGTGCAAGTAAATAAATAGGTACCGCTCTGGGGGGAAGGTAAACAGTGTTTCTGTGCGCTGCTCTGGTTTGCCAGAAGCGGCTTAGTCATGCTGGCCACATGACCCGGAAGCTGTATGCCAGCTCCCTTGGCCAGTAAAGTGAGATGAGCGCCGCAACCCCAGAGTCGTCCATGACTGGACTAATGGTCACAGGTCCCTTTACCTTTCCTATATATATATATGGCCAATTCACATAACATTTTTGTTGTTTTCTGTCTCTCTGTGTGCAACCAGTCCCAATATGACCAGGTATCGTTTCATAGAATCACATAGAATTGTCGAGTGGGAAGGGACCCCAAGTCCAGCCCCCTGCAATGCAGGAATCTCAGCTAAAGCATCCAGGACAGATTTGCATGAACCAACACAATGCAAAGATATCTATCTGTTATGGAGATCGATATGACTGAAGCAGCTGCAACTGTGATTATTGCAGAATGGCTTTTGGGTGTATTTGTGCTAATTTATTCACATCTGGGGTGGGGGAGAGGGATGCTCGATGGCTTTCTATATATTTAAAAGGCCTCTCTAAGCTGTGTGCTTGATAAAATTATCAATAAAATGCAGGTAGAGTAAAATTATCAATAAAACCAGCCAAAAGTTTTCAAACAAATATATGCAACTAAATTATATCTCTGGGTAGGTTTGCTGAAATGGGAAAAAAATAATCATCAGGAGTCCAAGTCAATATAGCAAAGGTGCTAAGATCAATAGGCAGAGAGTTTCAAAGCATAAGAGCAGCTACGTGTTGTTTTTTAAAAAATAATACAGTGGTACCTCGGGTTAAGTACTTAATTCGTCCCGGAGGTCCGCTCTTAATCTGAAACTGTTCTTAACCTGAAGCACCACTTTAGCTAATGGGGCCTCCTGTTGCTGCCACACCGCCGCCGCACGATTTCTGTTCTCATCCTGAAGCAAAGTTCTTAACCTGAAGCACTATTTCTGGGTTAGCGGAGTGTGTAACCTGAAGCATATGTAACCCAAGGTACCACTGTAATCAAAGAATCACTAGAATTGGAAAGGACCACAACAGTTATCTAGTGCACCCCCCCCTGCAATGCAGGAATCTTTTTTGCCCATCATGGGGCTCAAACGCATGACCGTGAGATTAAGAGTCTCATGCTCTACCAACTGAGCATGGCTCTTTTAAAATGTGGGTTGAATATGATAAGGCACTTGTCAAAGTGCAAGTTCCACAGATCAAACCAGTTAGATAGGCACATACAGGGCAAGGTGGTCCTTCAAAAGAACTGCTCCCCACCTGTTAAGGCCATTAACCACCCAGTCTGCAAATTATGCAAGCTCTATTTTAATATACTGGTCAGGGAAGTATCATAGCTCAGTAGTGGAGAAACTGCATTGCAAGCTGATGTGCCAGGGTCAATTCATGCTCTCTTCTGGTCGGGAGTGGGAGAGACCCCAGTCTGGAGATCTGCAACAAGTCAGTGTAGACAATATGGACCAATAGGTCTGACTCATTATAAAGTGACTTCCAAAGCTCTTATCTCGGGATAAGCCCCAGAGTCCTGTTGTGCTTAGAAAGACCAAATTTTGCACATACAGAGAAACTGGGAGCTGCTCTAGATCCAGCCATGTTCCTCTTCTTACACTCGGTGGTATATCAAGAAGATTATTAAAAGTAACGACAGTCATCATAAGCTGGCTGTGTACGTGAAGAGCCTCAAAGTAATTGAAAATATAAATGGAATTAAGAGCTTGAAAGCATTTCCATATTTGCAGCTTGGTAACTTTTTTATTCGCGGGGCGGGGAGTGGAGAGCAACTCCTCTGAAGTACACAGCTTCTTACAATCTCTGCTTAATGCAATCTACAACTGAATTGTGCTGCTGGCATGAACGTTTCAGATTTGCTTCTGGTGGACATAAAACAAGAATAAAAAGCGATCGTACCAATTTGCTACCGTACACAACATTTAACGTGGTTGACAAGGAGTGTGCATTTTTAGTTTGCTATGAATTCTTTTCTGTGGGTTGAATCCTACTGAGAGTGGACCCATTGAAATTAATGGGGTGTGAAGTTCATCATTAGCCCATCAATTTCGATGGGTCTACTCTGAGCAGGACTAACACTGAATGCAATCCTCTGTTTCGTTATGCAACTTCATTATTTTTAAGGGGGAAGCATAAGAGTCTTGCAGGACTGGGCAGGATCAGGCCTTGCAAGACTGGGAATCAGTGGGGTTCAAAACCCTAAAGGAAGGAGCCCCAAACAACTCAACAAAGACCTAACATTCTCAAAGGCCACGTAATACTTATTGTCCAGGGGAGGGGGAACTGGGGTGGGGTAAAGTGGTCATGACTTTCAACAGAAGCACTCCACACTGTAACATTTTGTTGCAGGTCTCACTTGGCATGACCACTAGCCATGGATAGATCAATCCAGGGCCAGAGGAAGACCTCTACAGATCATAAGCACTGAAAAGATTGTAGTGCCCCACAAATGTAATTCAAAATAAAAACAATACCAAAACAGAAAATAACATTTCATTTTCAAAATGAGACAAAAGTTACATGTATGCCAAAATGTACATGCATGTATGTCATGTGCAACGCATGACAGGGTCTGATTTTGATGCAGAAAAATGGGGGAAGAGCAATGAGTGGAAGACTAACGAAGTTCAGATTTTCCCCATGATGAACTACTTCAATGCTTTTTTTGAAACCTCAAATGTAAAATTCTTTCTACATTTCCGCATTTCTTCTTCTTCTTTTTTCCTTCCTTCCTTCCTTCCTTTGTGTGTGTGTGTGTGTGTGTGTGTGTGTGTGTGTGCGCGCGCGTGTGTGTGCGTGTGTGTGTGCGTGTGCGCGCGCCGCCCCTGATTTGCTAGTGCCCTAAACATGTACTTAATCTGCCTGCTGGGTAATCCAACATTCGATCTAACCTTCCTGGATTTGGCTAACAATTATCACTTTTAAAAAAACAAAAACAAGTTTTATAAAACAATGTCTCATTATAGAATGTGCTGTTGCTTTGCACTGGATCGTTTCCAAATGGCCTTGAATGCTGAACAACAGAAAGGCAGCCTAGAAATTCTGTAAATGAATAAATTTTAGAATTGCATTTAAGTTTGAATTCATAGTCCAGGAAGGCTGGAAGGAGAATACATATATATATATGTATATACATATATATATATATATATATATATATATATATATATACATATATATATATGTATGTATATGTATGTATGTATATATATATATATAATGGTGGCCATCCCTCAATAAAAACCCATATAAGAAATGTTAGGGCTCTGTTTCTCCTAGTCATCTCTTTTGCTTAGTTCAGTTTGAAGGATTATCTGTATTCTTTTACATATTTACATTAATGGGACAGCGTGGAATATTTTCAGCCACTTTTGAAACAGGTAGGGGGAAAACGAGCAACATTATTGTTAAAAGGAATCCCAAGCAGAGGAATTACAGGGTGAGCAGAACTCCTCATAACCTCTTTGGCAAAGCGCTTTGAACATACACCTTGGTCTAAAGACATAAAAACATTAGGAGATGTCAGGTGGATATCTGTCAGGGATGCTTTAGCTGAGATTCCTGCATTGCAGCGGGTTGGACTAGATGACCCTCAAGGTCCCTTCTACAATTTTATCATTCTACACACACACACACACACACACACACACACACACACACCACCCTATAGAACACAATTTAAATGACAGTATTTTTAAAAGGCTTATATTGATGAAAAGAGATGTAGAAAGAGTATGAGCCGCTGGTGTGTATTAGTAGGTATGCAGTCAAGTAAGCTGGTTTTCAGATCCTCACTGAAGGGCAATTCCATACATGACTATTCAGAAGTAAGTCCTGTAGAGTTCAATAGCACTTACTCCAAGGTAAGTGGATATAGATCCACAGCCTCAGCAATGGAATTCACTTGGTGGCTTTGAGCTAGGAGACACAGTCCTCTAAACCGACCCTGTCCATCAAAGTCATAATAAAGTGGAACAACCCCATCTTTGCTGCCCGAAGCTCTTCAGGTGAAAGGTAAGATATACAAACATGATAAGTTAATCAATAAGTTCAGGTTAAAGAGGGTTGTTCCATAAATTATTGCACAGGTGATATGGGTACTAATTCCAAAAGTGCTGAGATAAAATTAAGAAGTTTGTATTTGGAAATAAAATAAAAATCACTATGGTATGATAGCATTCAAACTGACCACATACATGAAGTTCCTAAAGTCATGTCAAATGTTTACTAGCAGAAATCATCTAAAGGCAGCATTATTAAGAAAAATTCAGAGTACACTTAGCTTATCATGCCTTATTCTGCATTTATGCACAGAGAGACACAGACACACGGTAATGCACCATGCAAACTTAGCGTAAATGGTTTGCTAACATAAAGTGCTGCTGAGGGTGAGTTCTTTCTGTAGATTTTACACTGAGTGTATTTTCCTCTGGCCAGCAAAGTGTGTGCTTTTTAATTTTTTTCGTTATGCTTACATGTGGACACTCCTAGACACTTTATCAAATAATCCGTCTCACCACATAGGCAAACCTTCAACTCCAAACTACATTCCTAGAGGGGCTGGAATTTTCAGGAATGGCCAGGAGAGAAGTGAAAGTAAACTGCTGGTGGAAATGAGAATTTAATAACCCCTGATCCTTTAACCTGTTTGACGGTTTCTGTTCCAAACCACAGAATCGCCCTGAGGCTTCTCTGGGCCTCTGGCTTCTATCGATGGAGAGATGGTTGTTGTTAAATCTTCCCTCTCGCCACAATGCAGCCACCCACTTCAATTTCTTCAGTCAAAGAGAGGAAATTCCAATGACGGGAGGCACACACACACCCCGACACTATGCCCATACTTTTTCAAGAGTCCCAGAGCACACAGCAAGGAACAGCTGTATCTGTTCAGCCTCTCCCGCTGTCACCTCTGCTTTAACTCTTTCCGTGGTGCCACTAATCTTGCCCTACCATCTAGTCCATCTTTCCTCGCAGTCAAATTTAGATTGCAAGCTCCCTGAGAGCAGCACCTTGAACTCTAAAAATCACCAGGTACGTTAAGGTGCTGAAAGGACAGGAATGACAGGAACGATGCAGCTGAGGAGTCGAACAAATAAATTTATTGATGAATTAATATATTAATTATTGCACCTTTAAATATGCCTATAAAAGTTCTGGTTAGAAACTAGCCCTGTGGAAACTACCACTCCTCAGCTTTTAAGAGGTTTTACTTAAGTCCGGGAATGTGGAGGCGCTTTTACGAACTTCGGGAGCAGTTTAACCCTTTCTTCCCGCTCTCCCGCTCCATTGCCTAGTCAAGAAGAGGAGGAGGAGGAAGAAGAAGAAGAGGGGCCTCGCTTACCACTTGAGCGCCTGACGATGTTCTCCAAAAACGTGTTCTGTGGTGCCACCAGCCCTCTTTTTCCCCCCGGCATCCTGCGCCTGCAGAGCCGGGCTCTGGAGCCAAGGGGTCGCAGCGGGGGCGGCTGGGAGGGTCTCGGCAGGTCTCTTGCACCCAGTGCCGTAGAGTAGCTGTGGGAAGGTGGACGAGGCAGTTCATGGTAGTAGCGCTCCAGCGGCTGGTGAAGCCCAGACTGTGGCAACGCCGCGCTCACAGCTCGGGAACTGCAGCCTCCGAGGGGATTGCGCCTGCGCGTGTGCCTGGCTGTTGCTGCTGCTGCTGCTACCCCAACGGGCAGACAGCATGACCACACGCCCTTCCGAAGCCCACCGGGCTGCCTGCGGCTGGACAGCGAAGAGTCAACCCAGCCCTGCCAGCGGATCTGGCCACTTCTTGCGTTCCTGGGCGCAACAGGGGCGCGTCGCGGAAACGGGGACTCCAACAGACGCGGAGAGGCTCTTATATATAAAAAAGCCACCAAACTCTTCTGTACTCTTTTTCCTTAAAAAGAAGAGGAAGAAGAGAGACGGTTCCTGCCTCGCCAACCAACCGCTCGCATCCCAAGAGCTCCAGAGAAGCGGCTTTAATCCCAAAGCGCGTCGCCAAGTTGGAGCATTCAGCACCCTGGACAGCTCTCTCTCCCGGAGCGCCTAGACTGCGGAGGGCAGGAATTCCACCGAGCGCCACCGGAGGTCTCCTCCGCCGCCGCTCCAAGGGTCGCCAACAGGGAGCCGCCACCCCACCCTCTCTCCTCTCCCAGCCCGGGTGCTCTGGAACCTGCGGCTGCACCCACACGCGCCCAGCAAGGCGAGCAGAGGAGGAGGAGGGCGGGCGGGCGGCGCGAGGGGCTGCGCTGAGGCGGCTGCACACCTGCTGGAGGCTGGCGTGGAAGGCAGCGCAACTTGGGCAGGTCCCAGGATGGAGCATCAAACCCACGCTAGAGAGGGGGGAGGAGGAGAGAGCCGGGGGAGAAGAAAGAGGCCAATGGCCGGAGTGGCTATGGGATGCTTTCCCCGAAATCAGAGGCTCGCCAGGAGGCGGGGCTGAGTTGCCAGCCTGATCCGGAATCCCATTCTCTGTCTCTCTCTCTCTGTCTCTGCTTCCTTCCTACAGTCAGTCGCCAGGGCTGAAAGTTCTTCGCCCGAGATGCTCCGAGACGAGCGCCCCAGCTGCCCTTCCGCCAAGGGAGGAGGAGGAGGCTGAATAATTTAGCGTTTGCTTCGGGGAGTTGGGGGAGTTGCAAAGGGAAGAAAGGAGCGCGGGTGGGGAGGCGAAAGGCTAGGGGATGATTCCAGTCATTGGTTTGGCACGGAGGAGGGTTAGCCGGAGAGGAGGATGGGTGGGGAGGGAGATGCAACTTTATTTTCTGCTTCAGAAGAGCTGCGGGGCGGGGGGGGGGTGCGCGCGTTGAAATGTTGAAAGGCATTGCGGGCTTCTGCACCTGCCTCGCAAGGAGAAGGTGGGGGGGCTTCTATCTGGAAATGTCTTCTCTACTGACCGCTTGGTCGTCGCCCATGATAGATCAATGGAATGGGCAGCTGGACTCTGAATATCAGCCGCTGGAGACGCAAGCAAGGAGGTGGGGGGGGGCTGCTGCTCTCAAGCTCTGCTTGGGGGCTTCCCTGAGGCATCTTTCCTGGTCTCTGCTGGAAAGGAGGAGGCTGGACTGGACAGCTCCCGGGCCTGACCCAGCAAGTCGTTTCTTTTGGTTCTCGGGTGAATTAGAAATAACCAACCCACTATAGGAATATTGAGAAGTGTCAAGAGGAACAGGCGGCTCCTGTGGGGACCTTAAAGCCTTTCAGCACAATCCTACACAATTTATTTATTTTTTTGCTCCTTGTCCACTGGTTTTAGTGGAGCTTGCTCAAGAGTAAATGTACACAGGGTTACAGCCATGCAGCCTGTTACTAACCATACTTACATGGAAGAATGCCTTGGGACCTATTCCTAAGTAACTGTACAAGCGACTGCAGTATTACAGCATAGAATCACAGAAACATAGAATTGCAGAGTGGGAAGGGACCACAAGGGTCATCTAGTCCAACCCCCTGCAATGCAGAAATCTTTTTTGCCCAGTGTGGGGCTCTAACCTGAGACTAAGGTGAATTTCTCCTTGCCCTCACCTGCTCCTTGATCCCCACACACAAAGGGTCCTTGTTTCTCTTCCTTCTCCATCTTTGAAACTTCGAGTCCATCAAACAGGCATCCCAGAGCAACCGATCAGGCCCAACCCTCCAACCTCAGCCTCCAGGGCACTGGGGTGCTTTTCCTGAGCCTTTTGTGCTCGAGATATTTAGAAAGAGGTTGCGCAACCACCTGGCAGTGACGTTGCACTATTTATACCCTGGACAGAGCAAAGGGTTGGACTATAGGACCTCCAAAGACCGTCCCAACTCTGAGATTTTGTTAACTGGAGAAAGGAGACCACTGCAAAGTCTAGACTTCAAGCGTGGGAGTCATCACTGGATTGCAAAGGGAGTGAAAGACACAACAGAGGAATAATTCCTCCTTTCCCATTCAAGATCTGACGGAATGGGTGTCCAGGAAGCACTAAATCATAGGCCCCTCACCTATTCCTAGTTTTAAATTATACTCTCTTGGTATGTTATCTGTTAGGTTGGTGCGTGTCTAGTCTGGGCAAAAGACAGTAGTAAATAAGACACCTTCATCCTAGATATAATTCCTATTTGCCAACGACCCCTTTCAGGACGTAAGAAGTACCAAACCACCCTTGCTGCTTATTTTATTAGTATTTACCAAAAAGCATTTTTCAGCCTTCCCTTTCTGCCTCAGTATGAGGCACTTGGGTTGGTTCATGACACATTTAACTGAATGCCATTCAGTTTATATTCTTAGCATTTCTTCTGCGGCCATTTGGAGGGAGCCAATGCGTCACGGTGGTGTTTTGGTGCCACTCCTTTTTAACAGGCTCTCTTTCCCATCCTTATTTGGCACTTCTGACCAATGTATAGCTGGCAGATCTCCCCCCCCCCTTTTTTTTTTTTCTTTCTAAAGAAAGATTGTGTATCCTTATCGGAGTTATTCCCCATCAGATGATATGAAGGAGGAAGGGAGGAAGAAGGAAAGGAAAATGAAATAAAATTTGATAGAAGACATCTGCATCCAGCTGTGTGTCTATGGAGCTCTTTCAAAGCAACCTGGAGTAACGCAGATCAGATTTTGGAGAGGGGATAAGACTCCAGCCCCTCTGCTCCCCCTGCTAAATGGCTTTTTAAAAAGAAAATTCCAACCATGCATTCCCAGCATCTGGAATGAGGACATGGACCATGGGCAAAGTACTATATGCATGCATGTTTCCACATCTAGCTATGGATTTGTCCAGAGAAGCCTTCTTCTGTGTGCATAATAATGTCCTCCTGCTAGTTTCTATTCAGATCTCGCCAAAGCTGCTCCCAAAAAAGCAGGGAGATGCAAAGTGCTGTAGGAGGGGATGAATCTGCTCCACCTGCTTGCTAATTCTTCCTCAAGACTACCTTGCATATTATCCAGCTAGGTAATCTGAAAACAGATACGGTTGTCAGTTTCCAAATTCCTCTCCGTCCAAATGAAAACTGGCTCCCTGTTGGAATCTTTTTGCAAGGAAATCAATTATTGTTCCCTTTTCTTCCCCCGCTCCTTCACGTTTTTGGCCACTTCAGTCATTCTGGAGCACCCTCGTGGCTGTTAGTTGACACCAAGTATTGATCTCGATTGAAGCGGCTCATTTTAAGCAAGCGTTTACCTTCTGAAAGTGCACATCAATATGCACAAAGAATCAAGGTAAGTTAATGCAAAGCTGGACGTGGAGGCAATCAAGGTGAAAAGAAGTTAAAGCTGATAGAGAGCAAATATTGAAAACCATCCAGCATCAGAATGTGCTAATTTAATACAAAGGAAGTTTAAAATCTAATTCCCCGATCAGGAAATTAAATTCAGCCCCACCTGGGAAATGGTTTTCTGTGTTTCTTTCCCCTAAACTTCTGGAAATTGTTGGACCTGGACTAGATATTTTGACAAGGCTTTTTCATTTCTTGAAACAAACTGTATTTGCTGCTTGGTGGTAAGAATACCTCTAAGCAGTTTTAGGTAAGGATGTTGGAAGGTGAAAGAATACGGGGAGATGGAGGATCCTTTGGGACTGTGCTGTCTGTTAAGCCCTAATTGTTGGAATCAGGCTTCATAAAAGTGTTGATAACTAATATAAATTAGTTATGGTGTTCTATGCAGTTCCCTGGAAAGGCTGCTAACACATGCCTGCGGCAGGGAAACAGGTAGACTGAAGGACGGAAAGTGGATTGCCTTTAGGTGAAAGAAAGGTTGGAAGGATCTAAATGTGTTGCTTGTTAAATCAGGCTTCATAGAGGTATTGGTAACTATTGACAAACTTACAGCTTCCTGGAACATCTCCTAACACAGGTCTGCAGCAGGGTCTCGATTAGAGGGGAAGGAGAAATCTGTATAATGGGTTCATTATGCCCGAATACAACACAGAGGCATGAAAGAGACAAGACTCTATCTGTCAGTAGTCAGTATTTGCTGTTGTTGTTTAGTCGTTTAGCCGTGTCCGACTCTTTGTGACCCCATGGACCAGAGCACGCCAGGCACTCCTGTCTTCCACTGCCTCCCGCAGCTTGGTCAAACTCATGCTGGTAGCTTCGACAACACTGTCCAACCATCTCGTCCTCTGTCATCCCCTTCTCCTTGTGCCCTCCATCTTTCCCAACATCAGGGTCTTTTCCAGGGAGTCTTCTCTTCTCATGAGGTGGCCAAAGTATTGGAGTCTCAGCTTCAGGATCTGTCCTTCCAGTGAGCACTCAGGACTGATTTTCTTCAGAATGGAGAGGTTTGATCTTCTTGCAGTCCGCGGGACTCTCAAGAGTCTCCTCCAGCACCAGAATTCAAAAGCATCAATTCTTTGGCGATCAGCCTTCTTTATGGTCCAGCTCTCACTTCCATACATCACTACTGGGAGAACCATAGCTTTAACTATACGGACCTTTGCTGGCAAGGTGATGTCTCTGCTTTTTAAGA